AGCCCGCATGATCATGCAGGCTCCCTCGCGTCAACGCCCCGACCGGAGAGACGCACCGTCGTGGACCGGATTGTAATTCGTTGAAAGGGCCTATTGTGAATAAATTGAGCCGAGGCGAGGATCGGCCCGGCATTCGTTCCATCGCGGCGCGGTTTTGTGCGCACGAAATTCCCACCGCTATACGCCCCTCCCTCGTCCCTTCCCGTTCACCCCTGCGTCGAGCCCCTAGTAGAAAACCACGTGAGCCGTCAATTTATTATTATTAATCCAGCGGCAGCTGGAGTAGGCGATGCGTGTAAAAGGTCGACGGAGGTGCGACCGTCCTCGAGGATGACGCGCGTCGTTATCGTTGATCACGATTTCGTAAAGCTTTACGCGACATCTCGTTTTCCCGTTTAATAGGCAGTTTCGGAGATGCGGCGTTATTTTCCCGTTGAGTATAACGATAATTGCATGTAGGATAAGTTATGTTTCCACGGCGAGGTCGTCGAACGTATCGCGGACGCACACACGCGTGTATCTGGTGGCATCGTTTCCGTCCTAAGTGCTGCTATCGTTCTCGTGCGATTTCGCGCGACGTGTTATTTTCCAGTTCCGATTGTTAGCTTTATTCGCTCCACTCGAGATGATTGCGGTGACGAGAGAAAGGGAGCGGGGGAATAAAGCCAGAGAGAGAGAGAGAGAGAGAGAGAGAGAGAGAGAGAGAGAGAGAGAGAGAGAGAGAGAGAGAGAGAGAGAGAGAGAGAGAGACAGCGAGAGAAAGAGAGGAGCAGCGTTGCGAGACCATTGCAGAAAGCTTTGCACGCAACCGTGCTTTAATCGGCCGTGTATTGTTTTCGCCAGGTTTGCATTAACAGATTTGCCCGCCGCCTCCCTTTAATCGCGATCGGTTTGTAATCGAGTTAGTCGGGAAAAGCCGCCGCTTATTAACAGATCCGTGAGCGTTAAATCACACGCCTAAACTGCCGCCCCGCGAAATTGTTTCGGCGCGGCGGCCAGCACGTGGCGCGCCAACGTTAATTGTTGTTTCCACGTGTAATTTCAGGTCGGCGACCGCGGATAACGGTGATGCGAAGCGTTCGAATTAAATCTCGATGCCGGCGCGATGCACTTGAAGGCGCATCCGAAAATTAGCCGCGCGGAACTAGCAGCGAAACGAATTGTTCGCCGAGCGGGGATTCAATTAGAGATCGGTATTATTAATGCTGCTTAATTTTCATTCGACTGTAACGAATTCGCCGTTTCGTTTTACATTAAGACTGAAACCAGTTCAGAGGAAGTGTCCTCTGTAAAATATTCAACTATAGGAAACTGGAACTAGAACGGAGCGAGGAAACGATTACATTACAGTTGAATTTAAGCGGCGATAGTGAAATAGGTCCCGAGTTTTCGAACGAGCGAACGCGAGAAAATATTCGTGAAGCAGCTGGCTCGGACAATGCATCGTACCTCTCCACTTCAGTCGTGGTGAACCCCCCGGCCGGAAATTGCATGCGGCGGAAGTCGCCTAGGTTCAACCGAATGCATGAGGACGAATTCGAGAGACCTATCGGAACGATCTACTCGCCAAGTGCTTGAGCGAGTCGACTATTGTTGGAAATCTTTCCACATATCTAAGTCGCGCGTACACGTGGTCATTGCGGAAAATTACATTTGTAAGTTGTAATTGAATTTAACGACGCGGTGCAGCACGCCGATGCATTGCCCCGAATATTTTAGAGTCGAGCTTCTAGATTCATTGAAATATACTGCATATTTCCGGTGACTCGAATTAGATTTGATAGGCTAAAATATCGACCCGACATTAATACACGACATAAGATAAGATGTTGGATAAATGAAGATAAATGCGTGGAGCGCGCGCATAAAATTATCTCTCTTATTTCAGCAAACATAATTGTACTCTGAGGTAGCAAGAAATTATTAATAATGTAACGTGATAAGATCGAAGAAGAATAATATTTTATTATCCATTTATGGATTTTTTCTTGCACAATCATTTGTGATTATCGAATAAGCGAAGGGAAATCTCGCATTATTTCTCTGTAAGAGAGATCCGCGTATTTCTACATTCTTCTCCGCTCATTGCGATTTCAGTATTTGATTATCGCTTGATTCGCTATTTCCGCCGATCAAATTAGAGTGTCCTTGTTTCGATACAAGTGAACTTGTACGAGGCAGCAAGGAGTGCGGCTAGTTACTGAGCGGCAATGCTGGCTGCACGGTAAATGGAATTAATGGCGTTGGAATGATAAGTGTCGCCGTGACTGAATCTGATTTGATTACCAAGTATGTATTTGCCGTCCGGTAGTATAATAGTGATCTAACGCTGCCAATTATTGTTTCTGTAGACGCCGTTAAGCAAACAAAACGCTGTCACAATTCGCCTGGTCAATGCACTCGCCCGTTTCGATTATATCTTTAAAAGAAGTGATTATGCATCTGAGTTTTTACACTTGAAGCGTTTTCATGCATCGCGCTCATTGCTTTATTCTTAGTTGGAGATGAGACTGATGATATTATCGACTTTATTCATCGACACCAGTCACTTTACTGTCTGTCAATTGTTAAGGACACCGATGTATTACGCATCACGCCTACGCTTAATACGACAGGCGTTTATCAGATGGGCAAAAATCGCTCTCAATGATCTGAAAATTATTTAGACTTACGTCAAAAGTTATGAAAATATTATAATATACATCGATAATATTTTAGAAATTCAAGTTGCTATAATCAATAAATTTTAATATTTTTATTACAAAATGTTATCAGTAAGTTCTAAATTTCTTTGAATAACTATGCACAAGAGTTTTTGTATTTCTTTTTCGAAATACATATTAATTTGAACGATTTGTGTTAATTTAAAATCTTTTATTCATACCTTTGGACATCTAATAAATAGTTTAAATCAGCTTATTCATATTTAATTAGAGAATTTAATTCATTTAATAAGGAAAAAGATTCATTGTAAATATATTATAATCGTATCTTTAAATAGTTTTTTATCAGTATTTTAATTACAATTAGTATTCCAATTTAAAATATAATTTTAGTTGGTTTTAATTTATTATTTAATAAAGAAATTAAAGATAAATAAAACATTTTACGATTATTGTGCATATACATTTAAGACAATATGGAGCAATTTGAAAATTGCAGTAATAAATGGCGACAAAGCAATAAAATAAGACGACATGATAAGACTTTAGACAGTAAAGTGTCTGGTTACTGTAAAGGAGAACGCAACGCTGTGAGCGTCGCTTAAAACTGGTTTCTGTTGCGTTTCTATGCGAGTGGTTGATTGGAGCGTAGATAGAGAATAGGCTTACTCCAGTTTGCGGTCAAGAAGCGTAGCAGAAACTCAATCTGGCCGTAGAAGGATTACAGATTATCAGCCCACGCGTTACGTGTGATCAATATGTAATTCGATCACTCTTATTATGTAAACTAAAATATAATCCCTTTTTCTTTTTTTATTGAAGTTTCTTCGCAAGATATTCTTCGCTCTCTGCAGAGTATGATTATTAATCTTTCATAATAAAAACAATGTTCCATCATAAGTTAATGTATTAACGGAACGCGGCGTCGAATTTATTCTCGCAGCTAAGTCAACCGTAACGCGCCGCAACGTATATCATGGAAATTTCTGCAGTACTCGACATACATTGCATGCTGAAATTTTAAAACCCTAAATCAGCGAGATCTTGTTGTGTGTCTTACGACCGATGTTACTCGAACAAGTTATCGCGACTGACAGTCGCACGTGATAGTTTTATCGTGTTTTCTACTCGAGTCCCTCCTGTCGAAAAGTTCGCGATGTGCATCACTGTGATATACCGCTGCATCGATTGTGGATGGTATCCAGCTGAGTGCAGCTGACAACGAGAGCGGCAAGTGGAGTCGTGGCTGCTGCACGTTGCACCGTGCAGAAACGTGGCTATACGAGTTACAGCTTGTCCGTGTTTACGCAGGGACGGACTCGAGCAAAAGTTTTACATTTTCTCATTCATTTGGTAATGCTTCTGTTCTTTAAAATGTCTATCTTTTATTTTTAACACAATGCTATTATAATAAGAAAGAGGATTCGTTTAATGGGAATTTTTTCTGAGAAATAATATCACAATTATATTAATAATCTTTTATCTCTTGTTGCGAGTAAATTATGAACAAGTTATTCATTTAAAAAATGTAATAATAATTTTGATTGAGCAAATTTTATTTAGCAGCAAATCTTTTATCCATTGGAGAGGTTTGTTATTTTAACTCGGTTGTTGTTTCAGAAGTTAAGATCTCTTACAAGCCTAATACAACTAATTCCACCGCTACGCCTACGAACGCGTGCACTTGTACGAGCGTGCGCATGCATGCATGCGATTCCCACCGTATTTACGGGCCAATGATTTATATGTTAATCCCGCGTGGAAGGCAATCCCGAGTCTCTCCAGGACTCAAGTAAACTTTCACCGTCGCGCATTAACGACTTCTCGTTCGGTACAGCAGATGCGGCGTGCCGAGATAAACGATTTCGCGCAATCCGCGAACGTGAAAAGCCGCATATCATTAACGCAACAGTGTGCGAAAAGCAGACCGCGCCTTTGACAGATGAAAAAAATTTGCTGCCAAGAGTCGCTTGCTACGTAACTGTATTGTTTCAAAGATAATTTTATCAATATTGATAATAGATATCTCACGATATCTTTTTTTAACACGAGAAGAATAAGACTCGAGTTTTCCGAAACCGGTATAGCAATCTGTAATTCTTTAGTATGTCAAACGCATTTTAAAAGAAAATGAATCATATCGATCGATAACACATCGATAAAATTTCGTAAACTCTTACATTATTAGTTAGAAATCTTTGCAACAAAAGATCAAAGTTACGGTGCGTAATATAGGTTTGATTTACGCCTTCCTGTCGCTTCGATATATTTTTAGAATGTATCAAGGCGCCCATCAAGGTTGCAACAAGTTACAGTCAGACATGTTGTTATATTCACCTGTTCTCTGGAGAAGACGCACTTGACGTTAATCCAGCGGTGCGCCTTAACGGTGCAGTTGCAGCCGCTCATGGCGCATATCCCCGGTTTATTGGCCTCGACGATGCACGAACGATGCAGGAACGCGAGATACCATAGGAACATGGAGCATACGATAACACGATCACACTTAATGAGCCCGTCAAGGGCACCGAGCGCTCTTCCCTTGGAACTCATCGCGACGATCTCCGATCGAACGGCCGAATCGTCAGATCACCAACAATCGATCACCGTCGATCGCCTCTTTCATAACGATTCGATCATTCGCGTTACACGGCGGTGCGTCCGCGCGTTGCGGATACCCGTGCCATTATCGATCCGCCGATCGATCGCGTGGATCCATCGAAGGAACTTCACTCACAAATACCACTGTATCCTCGCAGCTTCTTCCGCCGATCGATTCTGCGTTGCGCGTTCGAACGGAGGTACATTTCCCCTTTTATCGATCTTTAACGATCGACATTTCGCGAACGGGAGTTAACGACTGACTGTCTCGGGTGCGCGCGCGCGCGCGCGCGGTCTGCTCGTTGACGAAGAAGAGAAAGATAAAGAAGAAGAGGCGGTAGGCGTCTAAAGGCCAGCTGACGCGATCATGACGGAGGTTGCTTTTAAACTGTAGTCGGTGGCATACACGATCGTGTCTTCTCCCCACCTAGATTCATGTGGCTCGCCTGCCACTCTCTCGCTCTCTCGCTACAAGGTTCTCCCTCTTCAGCCTTTCGAGAGATGAACGTGTCGAGCCAACGGTGTTGGGTCCAAAGGTATGGGACTGGCATCGGTGCCCTCTCCAGGATCCCATCGGCGCGTCGCCGAAGGGACCGACGTTGACTTCCGCGAGAGTGCGGCCGTCGATTTTCGTACGCTACATCGACAATACCACGGTGGACGCGCATCCACAGCACCTGCGAGGGCGACCTTGACCAACTTACGGTTCAAAGAGCCCTCGGTTACATTGGTGACCGACGTTCATCACGGATGCTAATTGCGCAAGCCGTGTTGTAACCCGGGTCACTCGATTTCAATCGCGTGTCGCTCTTACAAAGGATGAAACCGTTTGAATGTATAAAGAATGCAACTTTTGAACCTGTAAGATATTTGTCGCATTCACGTGGAAATTTTTTTCGAGAAACTCAGAACTTCTGAGTGCAACTCCCATAAATAAAATTGATAAAACATCTTTATCTGGAAGTATAAATATTTGCACGCATCTTTCTGTGCAACATCTGTATTTTTCTAAACCGACAAGCGTTAAAAATAATTTCCGTAATTACGCGTAAGAACAATAAACACCGACAATAAAGAAAAGTACGCCGCGTGTAATAAAACCGTGAATTACCGTCTTTGACGTATCGCACCGGAACCGGAAACACGCGACATGGGGAGTGTAGTTGCCATAAAAACGAGACAGTCCGATCTGGAAAGCACTCGTCGCTTTTCATACTGGTAGATATGTCTGCTAGCATTTCTCGAAAGCGTGCTACGCTGTCGTAGCTCCTCGCTTTATGAGCGGAAACCTGCCCATTTAATTTCCCATGAGAAATTGCGCGCGTCCCCGGCCTCTCCGTCGCATTTTCTGGCGCACACGCGTGAAGTGTCGTCCGTTCATTCAAACGCGTTTCTCAAACAGCAGCGCATGTTCCTTCCTCGCGAAGTGCCCATATCCAAAATGGTCACGTACAGACTCTACGTCACGCGGATACCGATCTTTAAAGCCGCACGCTCCCGAATCCAGCCGGTCCCGCCGGCGCGATCTTGCCGTATTATGCACCGACTCGTCCCGGCGTCTATTATCTTCGGCGTGCCGCTCGTTCATCTTTTCCTCCCGTGACTATGATCGATGGCGAGAGCGCCGCTAGCTCCTCGGCGCTTATATCTGACTCGCGAAAATTACATTCGTTACACGACTCGATACGCGCGCGATACCGCAGATACCCTGGATCGAGGCTCCGGCTGTAACTCGTCGTTCGAGTTTTTATCAGAGTTCAACTCCTTTATTCAGAGATTCTGTTGAAATAATTCTTACGATCGTGTAAATTAATTTAATAAACCAAATCGTGCCGTTGAATAAAGTAGATTTATCGGCGATGAAATCACCGAGGATAATATTGAGTTCTCTTTTTCTTTCTCCATCGCCGTTGATTTTCATCAGGTTCTTATTATTTCTACGGAAATATCGCAGTGATCGATACACGCGAACTCTTGCAAGATTCCTCTCTCGCGTGATTTTCCCAGCATACCGGTTTCTCCGCGGTGGAAAAATGCGGACTCGGCTCTCCGCCGGTGTGTACAGGCGATGAAGCGCGGATCGCGTTGACGAGGAAGAGAACTGCGATGTGATTGCGCCTTATTAGGGATGAGTCCGTCGAGTCCGAGCAGGGGAAGCGACGATTGTCTGGCTGGCAGAGGAGCATCGTCCTCTATTCGCGATTTACCCAAGCGGGATTCGCGGTACGCGGCGGTAACCAATTAGGGGCATCGCGACTCTCAAACTCGTTCTAATGAACCGCGCTCTGGCTACCTGCACTCCTAATGAACTTAGCTCGAGATTTCGTAATAAAGAAGCACTACCGTAACCGCGAACTTTCGCGACGTTCATATTCCGGTACATTTTATCGCCACGGTGATTTTATATTCCCGACGTTGCGGCGCGCGCTCTCTCTCTCCGACGCAACTAACGAAGGATTAAAAGTTTCAGGAATTTTCCACTTATATTTCTGTAAGCAGTTTTATATCATGCCATGTTAACCCGAATATACGATTAGTTCCACGCTGCAATTTCTATACTCGTGAAAGACTCTTCAATTTTTTTACGAGATTTTTTTCCAACTTTTGCGAAGCGAGCGTAAAGCGCGTAAATTTTACTCGCAAGTAAATTCTAAATCACAATAGAGGTTGACGAAATTAGAGTTTAAATAGAATTAGTAATTTAATTCTACAATTACGCAATAACAATAATTTAAGAAATAAACGAACGCGGAACATCGACACGCAAAATCTCTCTGATCTTCTTTAAATCCCGGATTTACATTTTTTTCCAGTTGCCACTCGAACGAACGTCTATTCCTTCGTGATTTCGTCTCCTGTTCGGCGGGCACCAGCGGTGGCAGACTCGCGCGATGGCTGCAGCCAGACAGCTTCGTCGATCCTTCTCAATGCGAAGCGCTTTACTCGCGGGAAGAAATGAGATGCGGATGGCCGGCCATCGTCACGGTGCTGACGAGAGATCAATACGGCGAAGTCGTGCACGTTCCCGGATTGAAGGTATTTCTTTCTCTGAGAGCGACATACCAATTTCCGAGTCGCGAGGTATCGAGACGCAAATTATTCTTACAGATCGAAGTCAAAGCTGTGCCGATCGATAAGACCGACATCACGGAGTCCGATCAGAGCAGGAAGATCCGTCGTGTCTCTCAACCGGACCCCATGACTTTCGGTGGTCATCCGCAGCCGTCTCTGGACGTTCCGTACGAGGTGACCATCAATAACAAGATGTGCTTCTACGCCATTACCATCATGAAGGCCTATCAGAATTACTCGTTCGAGGAGCTGAGGTTCATGTCGCCCGCCGTCAAGCGATTGAGCGAGAGTATGCTGGTGAGGCCTAACGGCGACGGCAGTTACAGCGCCACGTGGACACCGTCCTCCGTCGGCTGGTACTCGTTGATGATCACGGTAGACGGCTACAACATGGAGGATGTGCGTAAATCATTTATCTCGAGAAACTTAGGATGTTCGGGATAAAATTGCATTCGATACGATCCATTTCGTTCTTGCGTTGCGCGGCCGAAAATAAATTCAAATAGGTTTCAAGTAGGCTAATCTAATTCCGCTTTATTTAGAATTACAAAGTAGAGGTGAAGGAACCTCCGCAAGGTATGCAACCGCCCACTCAGAACATTGTCAAAAAACCGCAGCTTCAGCCAAGCAGACTCAGGAAGTTTGTGGCGAAGAATAGCGCCGGCTTGAGAATACGAGCCCACCCGTCGCTGCAGAGCGAACAAATCGGATTCGTCTCGGTTAACGGCACTATAGCTTTCGTCGATGAGGTATTATCTAAAGCTGTTTAACCGTTGACGCTTTGATTAAATTAATTTTGAGCTTCCTGTAAAATAAACTAATATAATACACATTTCCGCAAAATGTTGAGACATCGAAAAATATTTTTGTTATTATTATCGTCGCATTATTTTATTCCAAATTATTTCTACATTTCCTTTTTTATTTTTTTTCTAATTATTTTAAAGATGAAAATGGCGGAATAAATTTCTCTTTCCGTTTAATCAGATCCATAACGACGACGGTGTCTGGCTACGGTTAAACGCGGAGACGATCAAGGAATATTGTCACAGCAGTCATCTCGAGGCCTGGTGTTTGCAGTACAATCAACATTTGGGAAAAACTCTGCTCCTTCCTGTCGAGGAGCCAAAATCTATTTTAGATCAAGTTATCAAGGAGACTATCCTGCGAAAACGCCCTGATACTAGTGACGAGTATGTAAAAATTGTTATTTCTGTCATTTTTTTTTTTTTTTGGCAACTTCCTACTTTAATGCGGTCGCTTACAGAAAAAGGAAGACGGTAACCTTCGACGCCGGAAGAAGCATGATAGTCGTGAAATGCGGTGCTTCCGGGCACAATATTAGAAGCAAACCGAGCTTGAAGGGCGCGCCAATCGGTATGCTAGCACTTGGAAATACTGTGACTGTCGAGGAATACGTAAGTTGATCTATTATTTTACTAAATGCCCGCATTTCCTTTTACATATCACGGAACTTCATGATTTATTTAGTGTGTGAATCACGAAGGAACTTGGGTGCGCATCGATGACGATTCGGTGACGAAATATTGCTTTGACAAAGGCCGAGAAGCATGGTCGCTCGCGATTAACAAGCAAACCGGCGTGATTTATATGAAACTTGAGCAAGATTTAGAGAACGATCCGATCGAGAAAAAGCCGATGATTCCGGACCCGGCCGTCTCGCCGAGCAATAAAGGTTTCGATTTTTCGATTCCTTCCGTCAGTCACGAAGGCTTCAACTTCACCGCACAAAATTACACACCGGACACGGTGGAGTCCATTGAAAGCTGCAACACGAATCCCTTCATTTTCGGCTCGTACAATCAACATGACTCGCCAGGTATAAAATCGCAAGACAAAATTCGGTCGATTTGCTATACGTAAATATTTTGCTAAATATGTTTTCAGGGAGTGAGCGTTTCACACCGGAAAAAGCCGATGGAACTCCAAAGTTCTCCAAACCTCATTCTAAGGAAAGAGTAGCGAAAGAGCGCGAGAGGGAAGGCGGCGGAGGAAAGTTCAGCGTTCTTCAAAAATGGCTGAGAGGAGATGACAAATGTCATGGGGAGAAAAAAAGTTCTCCGGGCAGGTATGGAAATATATTCGCACATAATATTCTTCTGATAAATTTTTAATATTCTAATGAGGCACAACTTTGTCAATCTAGAACTTATTTTTTTTTTTTTTTTATTAATACGTGAACTTTAAAACTATCGATTTTTTCAATATAAAAATAATCTCGATATTGATGTCATTTTTTTCATAACATTATAAATTCTTAAAAGTTGTAGTTCTCTATGTTAATATGCAAGTGTACTGATTATTAATAATTTTCAGAGATTTCTCTGAATTCGTGGGCGTGTCTGTGAAGGAGTTGGTAAAAGCGATGGGCGAGAGTCGCGCGAACGGCAACGGGGCGACACCACCGGAAACCCCGCGGCGAATGTCAAGAAGTTCCTCGCCAAAGAATCCCCAAGGTGGGTCACCAAGATTTCACAGCCCGTCTTCTAGTCCGGTTCCGATACCCGGTACGTATGCGGCTTTTGCATCTATTAAATACATTTAAACGTCATTTCCCTACTGAACGGATTCATTTTCTAATTCATTTTTAATACTCTTATATCATGTGTGACAATTTGGCACTGCAATTGCTTTGAAAATGAAATCATTTCAGAAGCTGTGAAAACGGACGCTGATACTCTTTGTAAGGCTGTACAACATTTCTTGTATATTTATATATTATATATATATATATGTTTTCTCTTTTTTTTTTTTATCGCGTATTAGAACACAAAATTCGACACAGTGATATTACAGTGAGAAATATTGATAGATGATAGAAAAATGTTTTAGACAATTATTCTAATTACTAAGTACACTATTTGGTTAGTTATAACAAATTAGTCATGTTGATCTTAGCTGGGTCCAGTCGACAGCCAGCCGTGTCTGGCAATTGTCTCTTCCCTCCTGCTGCTAACGCACCAGGTACTCGCTCCTATCCTATTGGATTATTGAAGCTGTAAGATAGCGAATCAGAATGCTCGGAATCTGTATCTTTGAGAGGAATCTGTTTTTAATCATCACTTATTTTATATATAGGATTTGATGGCACAGTAGAATCCACTTCGTATTGATCAGTGAATATTACGATATTGTATTATGCATGCGAGATAGCGTGTAGTTGCAATGGCACGCGATATATTGTTTCGTTCTTTAGACACGCATGATTGATCACATCATACGCACCGAGTAGACTACGCGGTCCGGAAACGGAAAGCTTGGTAGAGCTTCATCACTAAGACATGACACACCATATAAATATACTACAATTAATCAAAATTATTAGGTGGGAGAAGCGCGATAGGAGGGGGAGAAAGTATGAGTAGCAGCCCTGTGCTCTGCGGCTCCCCCCGAAGTGTCGGCCTCTCCCCTTTAGGTAAGATCACTACACAGTAATACACCCTATCCTAGTTTACATTGAGTCGAGATCTTATACCACAAACAGTTGATCATAGGATTCTTACACTTCAAAAATAGAATACAAAAGTGCATACTATATGTACGTTTTTTTTAGAAATCTTGATTTACAATATAAAGTCGCACGAAGTAATCTGCACGATTCGAACTTTCTGAATGAATTATGTAAGCGAATGTTATAAATGTCTCGTACTATATCACTTTCCATGCGTAATAAGGTGAGAACTCGATATCCTTGTCGGAATTGAATATCCAAATGTATTTTCTTGATGTGCGCTACGCAGCTCGATTTTTAGTATATTGTTACTTTATTTTCTTTTAAAGTGTCAGGAGGGATGGTCGACAGCGTGACGTCGCAGCGTCGCGGCTCGACGCAGAGCGATACAAGTGCCGTGGCGAGCAGCCTGACGCGAGATCCATCTCAGTCCCCAAGCGGTATTAGCACCACTGCCAATACGCGTGATCTATCACCGAGTCCGAGTTGCAGTTCTCTACAAATGAGATCCGAAGGCAGCATAGCTAGTCCACCCGATACTCCCAAGAAGGAGTGTGCTGTAAGTAATTTAGCGTAAAAGCCTTCTTTCTATTTTAATCGCTTTTCTCGGTACTTTCTTTCTGCTTACTTTCCTCGGTATTAAACATGAGAAAACTTTTCATGATAATCTAATATTGTGCAAAGAGCAATAACGTGAAATTGCATTGCTTCTTGCAGGATACCCAGGAGAGTCCGCGTAAAGTGTCTCAAGCGCAAACACAAACGAGCCCTGAGAGCGCCACCACGGCTATGAAAGGTCACTTCAGCATTGGTTCGTCTGGAGTAAAGGACGAGCGACATTCGCCGAAAATGAGCAGAAGGGATCATATAAAAGCTGTGAAAACGAGAGTGAAGCGCGCCATGTCACCCGCTAACGCGCATCAGAGTCCTAATCCTAATCGCACTCTGAATTTGAGTAAGGACAAAGTGAAGGAAGCTATTAGTCCTTCTGTGGCGGAATGTTTGCGAGCCGTTTTCGCCGCGTTCTTGTGGCACGAGGGGATCGTGCACGACGCCATGGCGTGCGCGAGTTTTCTCAAATTTCACCCGAGTCTACCGAAGCAGGGTGCGCTGGTCGTAACGCGACAAGCCGTCGTGCAATCCAGCGACAAGCAGCAACAAGAGCAAAAGGCACGGCAACGACACTCCGTCGAAGTGACGAACGCCGGCAATTACTTGCACATTCAACCCAGTACATTGGAGACTCTCACGCGTTCAGCGGCGAACGCTAACGCAAATAGAAGCAGGAAGAAACAGGAGAATACGATCAAGGAAGAGATTCAGGCAAACTCGGGCAAGCTCAGCTCTCTGCCCGAGTTTCACACGGTCGCAGTGCTACCGCCCGCATTGAAGAGCCTGGTTTTCCTCTGGGAGGAACTCAGCACCAATTGCCTGCAAGCCATCGAGCAACAATCGATTCTAGCCAGTCCTATATCGCAGATACAAACGATGAAGCTGGCAAAACGGCCGATACCGGAGAAACGTCCCAGGGAAGACAAAGTGAAGGAACGCGAGAAGAAAGGTAGCCGGAAGAAAAAGGAATGGAAGCCGATCGGAAGAGCGAACACGTCCGAGGTTTTAATCGAACGTGAAACCATCTGCGAACTCTGCGGTTTGATGTTCCCGCATCCGGTCACTTATCATATGAAGATGATGCATCCAGGTTGCGGTTGGCACGCGGGTGGCAAGGGATACAACAGCGGCGGGAACTACTGCGTAGGATGGGCGGGCAACTGCGGCGACGGCGGTGTCGGTGGCAGTTCGTGGTACTTAATCTGCGACACGTGCAGAGACAAGTATCTAAAGGCCAGAAAGAGCAAGTTTGCGAAGAAATTCGTGAGCGGAATTTCCAAAAGAAAGAACGGCACGAGCAAGATTTTATCCCCGATTAATAGTCCCAGCGGAAACGAAACTCATATCATTATGAAAAACAACGCGATGTTTCTACTGGATCTGGCTAGTGCTTCTGGCTTTAATATTCCGAAACAGCAGAGACGCCCTTCGCAGACTTTATCATCCGTCGCTGAGAATTATAGTCCCCCGGAGGCCACTGGGCCATTCCCGCCGACTGGACCATTCCAATGTTTGCAAGCCTTAGGTGTTCATCACTCACAGAGTCACGACGAGAGATATTACGAAGAAACACTGAGACGTGAAAATGGACAACAAAATAATTACGAGGGAAGCGGCGGCGTGTTCAACAATGCGAATGGCAGAGTAAGACATTCTTTGTTTTTCTTTTTCCAACATTTAACATTTGTTTTAATTATTGCTTTATTTGCAGCCACTGTCGGAGTATCCCATGAGCGACAGTGATAATGAAAGCGGCAAGAATCGTAGCATGTTCCATAGATCAGTGTCTATGTCTACCGGTGCACCTTGGGCTAGGAATAGTAACGACGGTAGAGTTGTTATGATGAGAAAACGGAATAACAGCAGTGGCGAAATGAATAACGGTATAATTTTTAATATTTCTTAAACAGTTTATAATAATATAAGGCCCAAAAATGAATAAAATGTATATTTTAAGATTAATGTGCATTTTATTTAATTTTTTTGCTTTAGAATCTTATATCATATCATTTGGCAGGCCTAGAACTTTATTGCGATACATTTAAATGTTATAATTTAAAGAAAGAAATGGTTTAGAATGTTAAAATGCATATTTTATACATTATTATGCCGTATAATGTTATATCACAACATTTTTTAGGTTAGAACTTTAGATGTAAATTTTCTTTACTGCATGAAATCTTATATTTTAAACAAAGAAATGATTTAGAATTCTAGAATATAAGATTTTGATGCATTGTAATAAAGTTCTAAGCCTACCAAACGGTATAATATAAGATTCTAAGGCAGAAAAATGAATGAAATGTACATTTTAACATTAATGTACATTTTATTCATTTTTGTGCCTTAGAATCTTAAATTATATTATTTGTTGGATCTAGAACTTTTAAATCTTGAGTTTTTTTTAAATATTAAGTTTTTTTAATAAATACTAATAACGATTAATACATTTTATTGTTCTTCCAGAAGCGGGCTCCTCACTTTTGTGTTATCCATCTGCAGCGCTGCAGAAATTAGTGCCATCAATGGATCAATCTGCGATAGTATCTGCGAGTCAAAATGAAGTGGCGAGTAACGATCGAATAGAGATTCTTATGAGACCTGTGATGTTGTTCGTTCTTCAACAACACAACTTGCAGCATCTGCAGCTCGCGATGAAGCAAGCGTTGCGCCGCGCCGCTTGTCGAGTTTACGCGATGCAGGCGTTAAATTGGCTTTTAAGAAGCGTAACGCAACCAATTTGTTTGCACGACTTGCTCTGGTGGTTTGTTTCGTCTCTTACACCGGTCATTCCTTCTGATAGCACGGATGCGAATGATGATGATAATAAAACAGAAAAGAAAGAAGATCATGTAAGTATTTTTAATAAAAATCTATTTGCTAATGTTAATGAATATAATTTGAATATCGTCTCTTTAATTTCCAGGATATCATCGGTGTCAGTGAGCATCCTTTGAGCGATTTGGTAATAGCTGGAGAATCCGTCAATCCGTTACCCACTGTGTTTCACACCTTATTGCAATCAATTGCGGATTTAATGCTGTTACCGCCACTTGGTAAGTGGCTCGCAATAAATCGGAATAAACATTTTATGGATATAGTAAGATAACATTGATTTATATATCTATATACAGGTTCTCCATTGCAACAAGCCGCGATCCGATGCTGGGGCATTCGATTCACGCCGGCGGATCACATGTTCCTGCATAGAAGTCACGTATTCAGTAATATCAGTAAAATTCTGTCGCGATCCGAGGAGGAGGAAGATGTAACGATGAGTATGCACGAGAGCCATCAATCGACAGTTTCGCAACAGATCAGTGGCTGCGTGGAAGCTTTGAAAGACTTAACATCCAGCATCGAAATTAAAGCTTCCAGCAGGCAAGCTATGATCGGTAGTCTCACGGACAACTCGACCGAAACATTTTGGGAATCTGGAGACGAGGATCGTAATAAAACTAAAGTGATTACTATCGTCTGTGGTGCTCATGCCTTGCCTAGAATGGTATACGTGCACATTGATAACTGCCGCGATTTAACAGTAAGTTAAATTTCGTAAAACTGAATCATTTTTGTATCAAGCAATATTTCTAATATGAAATTTGTTTAGCACAAGGTTTCCAGCGTGACTTTCCTGTCTGGTGTTAACTCTGATGAGATGATGAAACTGAGATCTGTAGAAATCGAAAGTAGATCAGCCGGATGGATTAACTGCCCAATCACTGGTAAAATAAGAACATTTTTTTCTCAGGATATAAAATATAATTTAAAGAAAATGTACAGCTGTACGAAATGATAATGTAATCTGTTCAGAATATTATATACAATTCTTTGCAGATCAACGTCATGTTGTTGTGGGCATGGAACTAAAGGGTCCTGATAATTCTTTGAGAGTTCGTCAAATCAGAATGCTAGGCGAGATTGAAGGAGGATCTTTGAAAGTGGGAAAGCAGTTAAGCGCGCAGACAATTCAACAGAGAAATTGCGAGGCAGAAACCTTGAAAGTATTCCGCCTAATCACTTCTCAGGTAAATTAGGCTCAATTTTTTACAATTAATCTTTTTGCCTTAACATTTTCCACAATACCTTGATTTTATTACAGGTATTTGGGAAACTTATACAAGGAGAGAAGCAGCAACAGACTGAACCAACGGAAGGTGTTAATGATGATCTGGAAGACAGTAACGATTTACGAGAACATATGGTTGGAATATTATTCAGCAGAAGCAATTTGACACACTTGCAGAAACAAGTATGCACTCATATTGTACAAGCGATTAGGAAGGAAACTGTACGCTTGAGAGAGGAATGGGAGACGCTTCTATGTTCCCCGACACCCGCTAACAGTGTACTGAGCGACAACAGCGATCTACCAAAAGCGGCCGACACTTATTGCTTCGAAATGCTTTCTATGGTTCTCGCTTTGAGCGGTAGTTCTGTAGGACAATATTACTTATCACACCAGACTGGATTACTGAAAGATTTATTAAGTTTGTTGCACACTGGATCGGCCAGAGTACAGCGACAGGTATGTTCTTCGTGTTAGCACTATAAAAAAAAAAACGATGTAGAGTTTGAAACATTTCTGATCGCAAATTTTATTTTTCAGGTAACATCTCTTTTAAGACGGATACTGCCTGAAATTAAACCTGAAACACTAGCGAGTGTTATAAACGTCGAACGATTGCCACCCACCGATTTCAGTATTGTATCCGCCGCAAACAGCGGATTCACCCACGTTTCAGGCTTCGACGAACATTCCGCCGGAATTCTCGACGTATTTCTTAGTTGTATCGCAAAATCATTGACTGTGCAAGTTAAAGTAAAGGGAAAAGAAAACAACGGCAAAGCGCTACAGACTGTTTCGTTGGCTACCAGCATCCATCCGAAGAGTGACGTTGGATCGAGATGGTGGCTGAGGGGTTGCATGACGCGTAAGCTAGCGGAAGTGATAATTCAGTTGTTGAAGGACATGGCATCGGTAAGTGTAACAAAAATCTAGTTGATTTTTCTTATATAGCACTTTAACTGACGTATTTTTTATGTCAGGGCAAATTGTCGGAGGAATGGGCATCTGTGACGAAAGCGGCCATAGCTGAAAATATCTTGAATTTGACTAGACTCGACGAGAAGAGTCGCGATCCCACGGAGTGCCTTCGATCTCCAACATTGTGGTTGGCACTTGCATCTTTGTGCGTTCTAGATTCGGATCATGTGGAAAGACTGTCATCCGGCCAATGGAGCGGTTCAGAAGGACAACCATTACCGCCTAGAGTGAGATCATTTTATTGGATGTCTAAATTACTATTGTCTAAATTTACTATTGGCCAGTGAAATTAATTAATCTTGTTTTTCTCTCGTTTATTCAGCCAACGTGTAGTAATCACGACGACGACGAGACCACGGCTATTATTCAATGCAACGTTTGCGGTAATCTGTGCGCGGAATGCGATAGAATTCTCCATCTTCATAGAAGAACTAGAACGCATCTAAGACAAGTGTGCAAGGAGGAGGAGGAAGCGATACGGGTGGACCTGCACGAAGGTTGTGGTAGAACGAAACTCTTCTGGATCTTGGCTTTGGCGGACAGCAGAACGTTGAAGGCGCTCGTAGAATTTCGTGACGGTTCGCCAAGAAAGCCGGTTGGCGTCACCACCGGTATTTGTCGATTTTGCGGTACGACGGGGAATACGGGCTTGCTAGCGATAGGCAATATTTGCGCCGATCACGATTGCCAGGAACATGTTAAGAACGCTTGTAACAAGGTTCACTCTTGCGGCCATATTTGCGGGGGTGTTAGAAACGAGAGAACCTGCTTACCTTGTCTGCATCGTTGCTTACCGGGGACCGATTTAAAACAGGATGCAGATGACATGTGCATGATTTGCTTCACCGAGGCCTTGTCCTGTGCACCGGCGATTCAGTTGCAGTGCGGCCATGTGTTCCATTTGCATTGCTGCCGGCACGTACTGATGAAGCGTTGGGTGGGACCGCGGATCACCTTCGGTTTCTCCCTGTGCCCAATCTGCAAGGTACCGATGGATCATCCGACCTTGGCCGAGCAGTTGGCAAGTGTGAAGGAACTCTACGAGGATGTACGAAGGAAGGCTTTAATGCGTTTGGAATACGAAGGCTTGCACAAGTAATAATTCTTTTTTTTTTTTCTAAATACTGCTAAAATATTCGGTGCGTATAATCGAAACTTCTGCCTTTTCCACAGAGCGGAAGGAACTTTTGCTCCCGGCGGTCGCTATCAGGACGCCGCCGCTTACGCGATGGAACGGTATGCGTACTACGTGTGCTACAAGTGTCAGAAGGCTTACTACGGTGGTGAGGCGCGTTGCGACGCACAACTAGGCGGGGAAGCGTTTGATCCTGCGGAACTAGTGTGCGGCGGTTGTAGCGACGTGGCAAGAGCACAGATGTGTCCGAAGCACGGGGCAGACTTCCTCGAGTATAAATGCCGATACTGCTGTTCGGTGGCAGTCTTCTTCTGCTTCGGAACCACGCACTTCTGCAAACCCTGCCACGACGACTTTCAGCGTGTGACCACCATTCCCAAAGGCGAACTGCCTATGTGCCCTGCTGGTAAGTGAACGTTTTTTTCTTTTTTCTTTTTTTTTACTTGATCAATATCTCACTGATCTGGGAATTTTGTCGTAGGTCCCAAGGCTAAGCAATTGGACGGAGATGAATGTCCACTACACGTAAAACATCCACCTACGGGAGAAGAGTTTGCTCTGGGTTGCGGCATTTGCCGCAACGCGCATACGTTCTAAGCTTCCAGTGCTTTCTTGTGATTTTCATGAAATTGGAATTGAACATAATTTATAGTAGATTATGAGAATGGATGGCATAGCTTTGATCCGGTGAAGGTGTATTTGTTAAGTAATGGATAAGTCGTTTTTATCCGCAAATTTAGTCATTATCTATCGATGAGAGACAAGCGCATAAGCTTGCCTATCAAACTTCCACAAGTGAATCAAGAGGAAGCTTTGTATTGGACGCAGAATTAATAGATATTCGTAATTATACTTAAGCATTTTATCATAAAATTATAAAATTCTCTCTATTATTTGAGAAATAATTGATTTTGAATATATCAGTAAGTAATATACTGACAGATTATGGGATAGATGAAGATTGTGCATATTTAAGAGTATGCAGTAAATTATCGCAAATTCACTTAAACAGAACGGATAAAAAAGATGAAATAAGAATCAGATTGTGTGTTTAATTGAAATGTCAACACAGATATATTGAAATCTATAATAGATTATCTATTATATAAATATAATTATAAAACTAGCTATAAAACACAATATAATTATATTTATATTATATATTTATGTAGGCATTTCAATATATATATAAATAATAGACTCTTTATGTCTATACATTTCGAATGAAATAAGTAAGTCCCTTGAACGTTGCATTTCACATGTTAGATTTTTATTTGTTTTTATACTTTTCCAGGCGAGCGTATAAACCGATCTATAAACCACTCTTAATATTATTCTTCCTACTGTTTACATATTTGTAATGTCTATTATTGTATATGTTATTTACGCAGTTGACAGTATCGTCATTTTGTGGCATCGTGTCGTATATGAATGTTGCGTGTGAATGATATTGCGCTGAACACACGTCGATTGTTATTATTTATTTTCTATGCTTGTGAGAATTAAAAATCTAGTTGCGGATGTTGTATTGATGACCTGTTCTAATGTACACTATTTATTTATTAATCTATAGACACACTACAACTTGGAAACCTCGCCATTTTATGTTTTGCCAATGATCTATCGAACACAATTCCATAACGCATATTACACGCATCAATTGTTATTATTTATGTTCTCAATATGTAAGAATTAAAAGGCAAAGAATCAAACGAGTCATTTTATTTCATGAAATTTTCATATTATATTTTACATTATTCCACATATATTATTCCACACATTATAGCGAAGTTAAATAGTTTCAGAAAATATGCTACATCAAGATTTTAGATTTGATTAATCAGGAAAATTGTACTGCTTATGCTGCAGCCCTACTAAATTTTTGCGCTATACATATTTTGTAGAGAATTTAAAATTCCCGCGTTTATATCGTCACCGTTCGTTGGCGTTCGGCGCCAGGGGTGCCACCAAGCGGCAGTTGACCACAAACAGTCTCCCTGGAACATAACGTGTGTGTGTGCCCGCGCGATCCTGACGTTTTTCGCCTCGATCAGCGGTAAGTAGCCTTTATTTACATGTCGTATAACAATAGTTACATAATTCCCGAGGCACGCTACACGCGTGTAACCGCGCGTCGCACGCCAGCCGGCGGCAAATATGAGTTTTCCGCGCGCGACAAGACGTCTGCTCGAGAATGAGAGAGACATGAGCTCCTACGCGTGTTCGTGCCACCCCGCTGTAGTACCGCTGTCAACTGGGCACTGTGTTTATTTTTATCACGAATTGCAGTCAATTGCGGCGAGCCGGGCGCCGTTTCAATTGAGTGGAATTACGCGCGTTCGCCGTCGTTCGCGCGATTCATGAATCTAGACTCGTGCGAGAAAACTCGCGATTCGTGCGGGAAAGGGTGTGAAAAACGGGGACTTTCGATTTTGCGATTTTCGAAAGGTCAGTTTCGTCGGGTCGCAAAAACGATGAACACTTCCGGTCGACTGCCTGCAGCGATTACTTCACGTCATGTTTTCTTTGCGACGGCCCTTAACCTCACTTCCACAAGCGTTCTGTCACTTCGGAAGATGCGCGCGACATCGCCTCATCCTTGATTCCTGTAAGTGACATTATACTAGTTCATTCATAACAATCTCTTAATTGAGCCTCAATTCCGTCGTGTACAAGACGTGCTAATAACTCGTTAATTCTCCCTTCATTCTTTGTTATTTAGAATTTTTACATGAATCGTGATGCTTCTCTAAGCCTTGGATTCTTGCTTGACAACATATGTTTAATTAACTATATTTTTGTCTATTAAGTATACTCTCATATACACTTTTTAAAAATGATGAATAACTAAATGTATTATGGAATAATCTCTATTTATTTATTATATTTTCAAGGGAAGAATTATTTTAGTTTAATATTGTGCACAGTTTTTGAACTAATTTCGTTTTTATAATAATTTGTAACATTAATCTAACCCATGCAATATACTTATTCTTTTATATATTTCTTTGATATTTATCCTTTTAATTGTTTTTTAGGCAATGTCGGCAGAAAAAACTGCATAAAGTATAAAAATTTATTATTGATGAAACTGGATGTAAAAAAGAAATTGGTTCAAATTTTGCGTTAATTAATCCATAAAAAGATTTATTTAAAAAGAAATAAGCATGCACGAAACATTTGGGCGTAAAACGTGGTTTAATATGAGAAAAGTGAACACTTGTAGTATTTATACACGTGTTTATGATTATATTAGTTACATCTGCACGATGAACTCATAATTAATATTAATGACCTGATACCAATCAACCTCTGAGGACCGCGATATTTCACAGAAATTTTTCGCCGGTGTTTCTTTTTATGCTCGGTGCAGACGAACGGTAAATTGTACATGAGCGCCGTCTCGAGATTTAAATCGATTTTACTTATGGTCCAGCTGCGTATCGCGATCTAGCTTAACTTGTATAAAATGGAATGTTTTTATTACGACTGTAATCGACACTAAAATTACCGAGAAGTGTTACAATTTTTACAGAAAATTATCATTGTAGAGACCCAACGATTCAATCGTCCTATTCATTTAATATTTTATTTGATAATGAAACATTTCTGCTTCGAATGGAATTAAATCATCAAAATCGAATTAGTCTCGGGATTTTTTAATCTACTAATGGCGCATATGAAAGAGTACCTAAATGGAAGAAATAAGATCATTATCAACTTAAAGAAAATTTACGATAACTGTAACCTCGAGAGCCTGTTCGGGAGAGACATCGCATTTCGCGAAAACTGGTTTCGGACACGTGTGTAGCACGCGTCGCGCCGTCGAGCACGCGCCTGTCGTTCATCCGAACGGAGAGCTAGGTGCGCATAATGCACCTATCTCTTGCTTGTATAAGCGAGAGCACTTGCTATTTGTTTTCGGCGTAAGTTACGTGTCGTGGGGAAGTCCATGAGTAACGCGATGTATATTATCTAAATTATGCAGGGCGCATCGTCTTATTCGCATAATAATGACGGAGGCGCTTCTACGGAACGTTAGCGATCTTACGCCAGTTGCGGTTATTTTAACGCCATATGAACCGCCCCTTAATCGAAGTTTCATCGGAGTGTACTCGGGGAACCAGTTTCGGCGATGAGAGATCACCCGTACCGTTATTTTTCTTTATACATATATGTTGCTAAAACACGTGTTGCATATCAATGTTGTATAGTCTGCCCCGATAATTTGGCTGATGGAAATATTTGGACTGGAAAATATTATTTTTATGGCAACATTATAGGGAATATTATAGCGTCGTTTAAAATTGTTTATGACGCACAAAGTGTGATAGATACATATCTGATGATTCATTTTTTAATTTAATATTTTATTTACATAAGTAATGAAGCGTAATATTTTGAAAATATATTGAAAGAATATGTTTTCGTATTTTAGATTTTATCGTGAAATTAATATGCAACTAAAGATGCTTTATTATAGATTTAACGTGATTATCGCAACCATGAAGGAATAATTGAGCTAATGCGTTCTTTATATTCTTACAAAACGCCATTGTCGTTACTTAACATGTGATACGCATAAGCGAGTTCAACCTTCGTGTCTTCGTCATTGAGCGCGGAAGATGTCCTCGTGACGCTCTAAATTAGCACAGACAGTTTTCACCGTTGATTCAATGTCAACATTAATTAACGATCGTATGCAAAGGATTGAGTCAGTTGCATTGTGTGCGCATATACAATTCGTATACGCTTGAAAGCGCGAAGCGTCTGAAAATTTTATGTTTTCTCCTCGTGCGGCACGGGTTTTTTTTCCTCTTTTGACCGTTGTTAGGGTAGAAAGTTGAAAACACGTCAAACTTGTCGCATCAGTGGGTACGCGAGATGTATTAATTAGGCAAATGTGCCTGGAAAAGCATTTCGCGCGCGTCTCTTCATCAAAGATCCGGTTAACTGACGACAACCAATCGATTGAAATGGATTCTTCGACGAAAAACTGTTATAAGTCATTTCCTCCATTTATTAACAGGAAAAGGAAAGTTTATGACAGTAGTGTAAAATGCATAATGTAATGGCTTTGCCGTTCTGCTTTTTTATGGTTTTTTAAGTCTAAAAACTCTTTAGAAATCTAAAAAGTTCATCTCAAAGTTGATAAAAATTGATATATGTAGAATTTTTATTCTTGCTCTCATGCAAGATATGTGATTCAAGTCTTGCGTCTTACATCCGTTATTGAATATTGATTTAATAATCTAGTTATAGTATGCAATTTCCTTTTCAAGATGTAGAGTAGAAACTCACCGACGTTAAATGTATGCAACTTACGATGGGATGTTTCTGCAACAGGAAATTCTTTTCACGCGGATTTTCTTGTCGTCCGTAATCATCCAGTAGAGCGACTCGCGATATTTAAATGTCGTTTCATCGTATTCAGAGTGTGACTACGGTACGTTGTGCGTACGGTGTATTCTAAACGTACCGTCAAAGCGTGTGCTTATTAGCCGGATTAACGGCATTGTAATTGGTCTTAAGTAATCACAGGCCGACTAAGACTCGCGCGTACTTCTGCTTCCTATTCATTTTTCAGTTACAAAACTCGATCTGCCTTTTAACGATCTCTCCTTCGGAAGCCGAGAACAAAGATCTCGGGGCCCTTTCAATAGCGAACTTGTAATTGCCGACTGGTTAGGTTCTAATAGAGGCCTTCTTCATCTAATTGCTTCTTGACGTATGAAACGAAGCGCACCATGGCTTCTTATCTGTGATCTTTTTGACGCCTCGTGTGCCAATTTACATTTGATTTTCATTCGTTTCCATCAGATCAGAAATTTTGTCAGATTAAGTACGTATAACGTAATGTTTGTTATAAAATTAAACTTGCTAATTATTGTACACTTTATATATTAATTTACTTATATAAAGAACAAATTTTCTGGATTCTGAGTTTTAAACATTAATGGTGCAATATTTAATTTCTTTACGAGATTAGAAGTAGGCATTATAAAATAATTCAACTTCGTACGAGTCGCATTAAAAGTATACTAAATAATACAGTGCTAATTGATCATTTTGACGTCAGAACATGGACCTATCACAACATGATTATTTTTGACCGCCGTTCCGAAAAGATGAAACGTAATGTTTGTTTTATAAAAGATACCTACGTGAATGAATTGAGACTAAACGATTTTTTTTTTTCTATAGCAGTTACGAACAAAGATTCTCTTTCAGCGTTGATTTTGGCTATAACAACCGGTTCCTAGTCGACGGTTCGCGTCGTGCGCTATAACTGTATCGGTCGAAGCGACGCTTCGTGACGTAGCGAGATCGTCAAGATCAAGGTTGTGGAAGCCCGGCGCTTTTGCATCGTGACGGAGAAACTCGTCAGTCGCGAGAAACTCGTTTACGCGAAGATAAATCGCGTGTAATGGTACGAACCTACCCGCGTACAGGGGTCCGATATGTGCATCTACGTGAACACAGCGACCGGCCGGCCGGTCGAGGCAATAACACGGACCCGTTTACGCGTGCACACAGGTGCGTGGAGCCTGGGAAGGTGAATGTGCCGCGGAACAGCGGCGGACACCTTCAGTCGGACCTTCTTCCTCTTCTCCTCAACATTGCGGACGGTGCATCGGCTGCTTCTCCGCGATCTCGCGTGCACTGCTGCAGTCCGCTGCCGCTCGCCGAAACCTCAGCCGCCGATGACGTTCTCTTTCTCGCGTGGAATACATTTATACGATACAAACACTATACGCGCGATACAAATCTTTCTCACATCCGATGATCGACATTTAATGTTCTGAGATATCAATCAGGATTAAAAGTGAAACGCGTGTGTCAGATGTATCTAAGAAAGCTTTGTTAAGAAAGCTCATTGGAATTCATCTGATTGATAGAGCGGATTGAATAAGTTACGAGTAGATTCGCGAACAAGGTCGTTAACTCACGAAACGCGGTGTGTCGTGCGACTCTGAATTTAGAAAACAATTCATCGCGTGTGTAGTAGTCGATTTACGTGACTAACGTGCTGTACGGAGCTGTCGTATTATGCGGCATCGCCGAGTGCATCGCTGATTCTTGTTCGCCGGTTGTTCGTGACGCGTGCCAGCCGGTGCAACGCGCATCTCACGCCGCCTTCGTCTTCCGGCGAATTGTGTCCGAGCGTTGTTAAATCATAACTGACCTAAGATCACAGACTCGATGAATATTGAGAGATTTCGAGGCAGTCGGCCACCGGATAATTTGCAGTCATTTGCATTTTATTAATAAATTATCGCGCACCGCGTGTTTCAATCGGTAATTTTTTGGCGAATATATGATTGAGCCTTCTGACATTTTTCCTGAGGTAAAATAACGAATTCAAATTTTATAGCGAGATTGTGAGGTTGATAAACTTTGTAAACGTGTGAATCGAACCGTTAGTGTGGTGATTATACTTAATAAGCACTATCGAATTTTTTTAATCACGACGAGATATGGGATACGAGTTTTACCATGGTCGTCGCGACATCATCGGCGATCTCTTTGATTGAGGATTTCTCGAAGGATACACTAGGAAGGTACGAAAAACACTAAAACTGTGTTTTTACTTCACTTTTTTGCATAGTTGATTGTTGCAATTAGGATTTGTTCATTGATCCCGGTATTTATAGCTATTTAAAATTGCAATGCATATAGATACATTATTATGTTGTTAAAATAGTAGGTTTAAAATATTATTTCAATTGAGGAATGATTGGCTTTCAAGACATTACATCATGCGAATTCGGTCAGAACGCACAACGGTAATAAATTTGGAGCCGTTACGCATTCAAGTTCTGCACTGACCGAACGTAATTTAAATTATTCTAAATGGCTTCACGTCGAGTTCCGTAAGATCTCCGCGATAATGTGCGATTTTATTTTTCGAGTGATTTCAGATTATTTATTTATTTTTTTTTTTTTTTTTTTTGTCGTCAGACTGAATCGCGGTGATAAAACGCGAGCGCTCGGTTCCGATTCATCGCGCGCTTTAAGTATTTGTAGTAAAAAATTTTATGAGAGGAAAAAGTTTGCAAATTCGCGTATTAAATGTTGTTTTTTGGGTCGGTGAAATCTTCCCGATCGTTTCTCTCTTTTTGATGGCCCGCGACACGTTATACCGAAACACGCTGACAGATCGAAAGTATATTATTTAGTTGCGGATCGTGACGACCTGTCACGTGGCCAGACATTACTATTCGACCTCAATCGTTCGATAAACTCTTTTCAGCACTCGATAGAAAATATACCACATAATCACAAAATTACAAAATTATATTTTGTAATATAAATTTAAAAATTAAGATAAAAAATAACAAATTGACGTGTATGTGAGATTTATGTATATTTAAACGGCATATATGCGTGTTTTTTTCAATATTCCTCGGTATATCTACATACTGTTTACGTAAATCATCGTTATTACATAAGTATCGGATTGCGTCCAGAATTTTTTCCCAATACCAGTTAGAGAAATGAGAAAACTGCGAATTATTCAACAAGTTAACTCGACCTTGTGGCTTATAAAAAAATCAGGATAGAAACCTGCGATGAATCATTAATAAACCGGTCTACTCCGAGATTACGTGATGTGTACGATGCCGCTTCGGCAATATTTGTGCTGATACGTGCTGATTGTAGCCTTATATCGTATCATTGCGGTATAAATTACGTCGAAAATAATATCTGAATCATCTCTTGATGGAAATGTCACATTTGATCGTATGCATGATAAACAACTCTTAACGTGACTTGCACCTTCGATTTTAGGCGGATTGCGCTGATTTTTAGACAATCGAGTAGGTTACGCGAATGACGACATTGACAAATGAGTTTTTAGATAGTTACACTTGGGGTGAATATCGCGCATCGATTGCTCGTGCTAACACAGCGCGTGTTTCATAGATTACCTTGAACTTAAGCTTTCTATAAATCTTTTCGCACGATCGTTAAGTAGATAAGCTCTATAATGATTTAACATTTAGTTTTTTCTCGATTAAAATACGTTCACGTTCAATTGGATCGATTTAATTGAAATTGAATCGATTGAATTGAACTGATTTAATCGATTTAGTTGAACCTTTTGATTTTTCCATTTTGATTTTCTAAATCTTTGACAGTTTCGTGAAGAACAATTAATAGTGATATTAATTTTTCTAAGAATCTCTTTTTCTTTAATATACATCTTAGCAGTTTCATCGAAAAGGAAAAAAGAATATACGAATCTCTCTTACTATATTTTACAAGCTTGCTTCATTAAGCAGAGTATTGATTTCACGAGAAAAAGTTAGTGTAGGTGTAAGGCGCGAGAATTATTCAGATCTCCATGCTTTTGACCTTGTAATCCGAGATAGTGCGATATCTATTAAGAAGCTTTAACCTTTCGTGCTCTCTCGACACGACAAAACCGAAATTGGCGTTTTAATCAAGAGTTACACTGAATTACACGGTCTTAATCGCATTCTTCACGGTCGCTCTTCCGTCTTAAGACACCGTCAGCAATACGGTTTTCCCAAAGTGCACGACTCCAATTTATTACGCGCGTACGTGAGCACGATTTAATGCCGGGATGGCAAGAAAGGACGGCGAAGAAGAATCGTCTGACTCGAAGTGGACGCACGCTCAATTAAGGCGCGACCACACGTAGGAAACCGCCGCGCCGCGTAGCCCCCACGACCGACGACGAAGGAAAGGAGGATTAGTGTACGCTCAATTAAGGGGAGCACGCAGCCCGGAACGGACGTTGCTCCAGAACGTTCCGTCGCGCTGCGCCGACTTCGTCGGGTCCATTCTTATATCCTTCGCTCGACACATTCGTTGAGGCGCACAGGCGCGGCTGCGTTTTTCAGAGAACATTTAACTTCATTTTGTCGATCCACTTTTTACACGTGATGTTAATACAACAGTTTTGCAGCTTCATATTAATTATTTATATTTTATCGGTAACATTTTATAAATAACTTTTAATTTTTTACTTTTTTCGGGAAAAGATTTTTATTAACGAAGCCGATCACTCTTCGGGGTCAAAACTTACATATTAATTTTCAATTATTTCTTCCGGAATTCGAGTTTCAATTCGAAACGGTACATGCAGGTATAGTAAATTAATTTCAGCATAATAACCCCTTGCACACGTATCTTTTGAAACACTCTACGCAGTGAACGATGTAGTCAATTAGCTTTACATTGCATTCGGCGAGTAGCAACATTAACTCGTTGCTAATTGCAATCGCACAAGCGGCTCGCGAAGTATTCGCCTGCAGTTTTTTTTAGTGAGATTGCCCGATACGCTCGCGAGAATTCGTCCTGTGAATTCGCCGTTATTCGCTTCGTCCACCGTTTCTCGACCGTCGCGATTCTGCAAAAACAACTTATGGGTGAATACGAGCCTTCGGTGATGAGGTAACTGCGAGCACTCGCGGTCAACGATATGTTTCTTCGATGCGGAAGTTCTTCGATCTGACCGTAGGTATTCCGGAGAAGGTTGCTGCGTAGGTGAAGGTCCGGTGAAAGGTCACGGGAGACTGGTACCTCGCGATTAGCTTCGCAAAGACGTCGATGCGGCGAGATTTATCGAGAAGTTGCTCGTTAAAACTTCTCGCCTTAATTCAACGCTCGATATTCGAGAACTCCTTGTCGCAAACCACTTGTCTTTGGCTGTAATTGTATTTAATTGGAGATTCGATTAAAACGCTCATCAAGGGAGAGCGTTCACGTTTTATTTTCTTTACTTTATACAAGGTGAAGGTTGATTTAATTAACGTAACCGGTAAAGGTTAATTCAATTAATTTAACCGGTGAACCAAAGTAATCGGTGAAGTATGAACTGAAATACTGAAAAAATTTTCACCATAGCATTTGCTGTCATAAAACTTTTTTATTTTAATTTGATTTTTATAATATTAAATCGTACGCCGCGATGGATAAATTGCGCTAAAGATTTTGCATTCTAATTTCAATATTGGGCAACGATTCGCAACACTTCTATTCACATCTTGATATTTCCGGGTAATTTATTTTGCCTAACGGATATTACGTTCGAATGTTCATCAGTGATATCATTGTCTTCCTTTACACCTCGTGACTGTATGAGATTACTCACCCGAGACTCTCACAGGATCGATTTTCTCGCATGGGGACTTTTGCACGTATGACGCGATATATACCGGTGCGCGTCGCTCTTGTCTGCAAACCGTAATCGCGAGGGTGCTCTTTTCGGGCGATACGTCGGCGCCGTCGCAGCGGCGTCTCGATGTCCGGCAACGCCGAGTCAGTGCGTCGCGCGACGTCACTCGACCACGTGCTCCGTTGATTGTGTTCTCGCATCCTTTGCATCGCGCGCGTGTGTGTGTGTGTGTGATGTACACTGCCACGAAATTCACGGCTTATCTTCATTCCGCGTGAATGTCCAGGACGTATAAACGCGCGGTCCAGAAAAAGTAAATATATTATTTGCTTTTAGTATATTTTTATATGTAGAACTCGACAATAATATAAACGTAATATTTATAACATAAATATATATATTTTTCTGTCAATGTTTATGCTGAATGATAAAATTTCTATTTATAGATTAGATCGTGCTAAAATAGTTTTTATTTTAATCTTTGATTTTATTTGAATCAATCAATTTTTAGTCGTTTAAATATGAATAAAAATTCTATGGTTCATATTCTTTCAAATAATTTGCATTAGATATTGTAGAAGCAATTATCGTTTTTTATCTAGCAAATCTAGTTTATTTTGCATTAAGTATTCTATCTACAATTTTTCTTCACTTTCATGTTTTTTCTTCTCTTTATCATTATAATATTTTCTGCGAAAGATAAGAACCTACTTCAAGTCAAGTGACTCACGCAGTGATATGATCATCCAGTTTAAATTACAACGCTTTCGTCGATAAGTGTAATAGGAGGTGTTGCGACTCCTTATCTCAATTTCTCGTTTACAATTTACATGATCAAATGGCTCAATGCTCCACATTTCAGAGGTAACCATTGATAGCAAAAATCTTAATAGTCTAGTTTCACTTTTTTTTATAATGCGATTCGAGGATGATACGACAAGGATGCTCGTCAACACTTGTAAATTTCTCTCCACTTTTACATGTTCGATATATCGCGCGTTCTAATAGCTAAAGACAGTTTCATCATGTATATAGTGACAAACGCCATCAATGATTATCTATAATCGGAGACACATCGTCGGCAATTTTGTTTCTGCACGCGAAACTAGGCGCACCGATGAGTCATCGTGAAATACAGCAAGGTTTAGTCTCGTGTGAAGGATGACACAATTAACGATGCTTTTACTCTGATTATAGGTAATCACTGTACGCGACGTTTATTGTAATTGCTCGCAATTTGCCAATCATGCGGAAATACCGCGAGAGAAAACATTTATTGTACACGTGCTGCAAATTTTCTAAATTTAGAATTCAGCGGTGGCAAGTTTAATGTAGCGAAATTTAGCGTTGAGAGGTTTAATTTGGCGCTGAGAAATTTTATTTAATTTAGCCAGGAACTTAGCGTTGACGAATTTAATTTAGTGGCAGATTTAGCGTTGATTTCATCTCACGACGCATTTAGCGTTAATTCTTGCAATAGCGTGATATTAAAGTCGGCAGAGCGTTTAATGCTTAGCGATGGAGGCAAGCGTTTCGTGAAAGCAAGCTTCCTACTTCCTTTTTCATCAAGCGGACGCAAGATTTCTAGAGGGTTTTCTTCGCGGTGGATGCCGTGTAAAAGAACCATTAACCATCCTGTAATAGAGGTATTCAGCGGGTCAGCTTTGACCCCGTGAGTCGGGTCCGGTACCGGTATTCGACGCTTGATTTACCCACGGAGATAGGCACCACGCGACAATATTCCCCGGCTTTTTCCTGCGGGCAAAGTAAATTCTTCGGCGGATTCGTGCCTCCGGTTTCCCCGAGAAAAACTATCCACACAGTGTACTAATGTAGGTCACATTTCCGTTATCTCAAAATACGAAGTGGTTTTCGCGGATATTTAACATGTCGCTGCCTTATTAAAATACTACGATGTAAAATGATTTTATGTCATGAGATAATAAGTGCGAGTATCAGTATGTAGATCAATAGAAGATGACATGGAATTTTGTTCACGATTTACACCATCGTTGTCGTATAATTTCAACGACTATAATTAATGTCTCCAAACTTCTTGTTTACGAAGTTCGTGTTGGAATAATCGCGGGATTATAAGCCCGTAGCTTTTTAGTCATGCATGGCTTCGGCCAATAACATACCATATCAGCATTAATGCAAGGCGTATGATAGAAGTAGCATATCAACTTCGCAGTACTTATAAATATTAAAGCGAATGAGAGATCATAGAGCTCACATATCCGCACTTCCTGCGATTACGGAACTTTTATCGTCTAGTTAGCTGGAGAAATCGATTGGTGCGTAGAGTGACCTGTGAAAGTAATACACTGCCTCGTCTCTCTCGTTTGCATATCCGATTAATTCTGTGGAAGGATGCGTCGTTATATTGGATTTCCTCAAAGGCCGCGGTATAAATTAACGAACGATCCTTGTCGTTTGTGTGCATATAATGCCGCGAATAGGCGTGTGAATGGCGAAGAGCTGGAATTATGAACGATGGGAAACGTGGATAAAGAACGGGCAAAGAGTCAAGGAGATGCTAAAGTCGGGGGCAGCGAAACGCACTTCAGTGACAAGCTCGAGCACTATAACTTTGCAAGCGTTCCCTTTGAAATTCACTCGGCGATGACGGTTTTTACGTTGAAGTTTTTTCGCTTTTGTGAACTGAAGTCCAAATCGTACTTCCTGTACGATGAGAAGAGACCGCTTCGTTTATCGAGAAACAAAGAATTACTGAAATATTCAAAGATTTCTATGCTTAATAATGACCAACGATAAGTAAAATATTGAGGAAGACTCGAAAATCCAAAGTATTAATTGCGTTAAAAGCTTTTTAAGCTTTTAAAGTAAGAACTTTTTTTAAGAACTGGAAAATTACAGATTAAAGTGAAGATCTAGATATTAAAAATCGCAGATAGATTAAAGACATAAATTAAATTCTATTTTTTATTTTATACTTTCTAATTTTATTTATGAGAATATAACATATCAAGAGTCTTTAATCTTGAAAAACAAAATGCAAAATCTATATTTACATTATTTAGACATAAAGTGATAATAAGCCAATGTGCACATTTTGGCAAACAATTAGGATTCTTCATTAACCGGTTAATTAAATGCTTAATTATAGGGTTAACTCGCCTGTTACGAACAGCACAACCGATTCCTGTTATTCCGGTAAACCTAGTGGAACGACTCGTTAACAGTTCCGTAACTTCCGCCTGGTGAATATATTTCCTCCTAAATTTCGAATCAATCAACCGTATCGTATCGCGCCGTTATAGAACTAAAACGACTATCAATATGTTTTCAATCTATTATTAAAACTTTTATTGCAAATTTTTATCTCGATTAAGGAAGGGAAAAATAACGGCGTTAGATTGAAAGGAAGTCTCTGAATTTACATACAAAAGAACGAAATTTCCAGCGCGATAGGGCTGACGCAGCAGCGATAATTAAATCGTTGTAAACATACGGCGCACACCTTTTATGTCTCGTTTCATAACTTTCAACGTACTTTAAACGCTTCACTGCTCCGTTACCTCCGTGCGTTATTATACGACGAGTTTACGACCCATTGCAACCGGCAGTCGCCAGTCATTGCATCCATTTGAAGAAATCGACGATGCGTCTCGATCAATGGGCATCGCGATCGCCGTCGATTGACTCCGTAAAACGTTTTGCCAAGGATTATTATTTATTCTGTCTGGTGTGTCACGTCATCTGTATCGACGATAGTTTGCCGATGCCTGTCATTTAACTCCATTCGAGAAAATACGATAAATATAATCCCACGATCAGCTCCTTCGCGTTTCGCACCGCGCGATGTTTACTCTCGGTGTAACGAAAGATAAACATTCGCGCATCCTCCAGCGAGAACTTTCCGCGGAATCGAAGAAATTGTATTTCATCACAGGGAGATGCGTCCCGAGGGCGAATCAGAAATTGCTCGATCAGTGTTTGCCCTCCTTTTCCGGCGGGCATTCGCACATTTAGCAGACGGACGACGCCTCGATATATCTCCCCGCATTCGGCTCAATTAACTCTCCCGGCAAATTGTCCGAAATTGAATTCTCGTTTCATCACTGCGTATACCTACCAGCTACAATCAAAGTCTGGTTTTTTAGTGAAAGTATTTTCAGTTTATCCCCCTTGATGAAAATTCATGATTTTGAACATAGGATCCGGATATTATTGGTCTTTGCTTAATCGCTTTCGCTTAATCTCGAAAATATCTTTTCATTAATTAATTACATTTTTAAAAGGAAAGAATGCGCATAAAATGATAGAATAAACATAGAATTATGATGCTGCATTATAGTTTATTAATTATTAAGACACTATTACATACATAAAACTTCAACTTCTAACAATAAGTGGACGGAATTAATAAGAGACGCACGCTCGCATAAAATGCTGCGTACGAGAGTAATTATAACAAATAGATCATGAAAAATAATTACGGTCAATCGACTCGCTACTCCAAGGTGACGCGATGTAAATCGATAATAACATCGTATCTATAACAGTACCTTACTAATAATAAGCCTGGGACGAAATCGTGCGGTAAAACGGGTGCATTGTAAGTCGCGGTAGGAGTGAGGCAGTAATACATATAAAAGTTACGCGACAGAATTAGCGTAACATAAAATATGAGTTACCTCACCAATAACGCTCATCATCAACAAAATGGTCAACCTTTTGTACAGGTCCAGAGTCTTTAGGAGGCCAGCTATATTGGCTTCGAATATGTTTTCTTAAGAGAGGATTGGAAGGATTGGAGGATTGGAGAGGATTGGAAGGATTGGAGGATTGGAGAGGATTGGAAGGATTGGAGGATTGGAGAGGATTGGATGTTAAGTCGGACAATCTAGCGCCTATCGCTCTTTGCATCCAGTCACCCAGAGTCATAATCGTATATGGCATCTTTGAGACGGACTCATCACTTGTCAAACTTGTCAGGGATGATAGATCGGCCTGTCTCTTTTTCTGCAATTAGAATGCATTTTAATTATTATTTGTTTCTTTCTCCGAAAATATTACGTATTATTTCCTGCATCGTAAAGACTACATGAATATATTATATTTCATCATAAAAGATCGTATTTTATATCCAAAATCAAATATCTATCGGTGACGTAGTAATATGTTATGTGACAGAATAGTAAAATATAGAATATGGGTAAGAATATATTTTTTTCTCGTATTTGTGTCGTAATTGTTCTTTGAATCGTCGTCTAAATCTAAATTGTCTAAATTGTAGTCTAAATAATCTTTCGGAAAATTCTTGATTACCAGACTTCTCCTCCATCGCATTGTGTCGCTACTATACTCTTGGAGAGGATTGTAACTTCTCTGGAGGTTGCTGGATGGTTGCGCTCTTCGTAGAATTACATTCGTATATGATCTTAAGAGGGGGTTGCCAGTTGGATGTTCATATGCCTCTATATTATCTGGTGACCTGGTTGTAATGACATGTCTCTTTTCCTGCAATTAGAGTGCATTTTAATCATTATTTGTATCTTTCTCTAAAAATATTACGTATTATTTCCTGCATCGTAAAGACTGCATGAATATTTTATATTTTATCACAAAAGATCGTATTTTATATCCAAAATCAAATATCTATCGGTAACGTAGTAATATGTTATGTGGCAGAATAGTAAAATATAGAATATAGGTAAAAGAATATATTTTTTCCTCGTATTTGTGTCGTAATTGTTCTCTGAATCGTCGTCTAAATCTAAATTGTCTAAATTGTAGTCTAAGTAATCTTTCGGAAAATTCTTGATTACCAGATTCAGATTCGGTATATAATATTCTGTATATTGTCTTCTCGATCTTAAAAGGGGATGGTTGGCACTTGGATATGTATATGTTTCTACGTATTGTGATGACCTTCCAATGGCACATCTCTTTTTCTGCAGTTAGAATGTATTTTAATCATTATTTGTATGAGAATATCTACTATATTTTATATTGTAAAGACTGTGAAAATATACACTACATTTTATCATAAATCACAAAAAATCGTACTTTATATCTAAAATCAAATATCTCTAAAAGTTTTTATTCGTTCTAAAGCAAAAATTGCACCAATTAAAACTTAATAAAATTACAGTATTAACAACAATGTATTAAAATTATTAATATATTTTATAAATCTGTAATATATATTCTTATATTCTTTTATTTCAATTTAAAACATTAATTTTTTATTTAAACTTATATTTTTACGATTTCCAGAAATAATTTGTTCTTTTTACACAAGAAAAATTTACATTATTTTTTACTCGAGATTGCAGATAATGAATTGTATGAATTGGAACTTGAGAGATTTTTTTCCGTAAAGAAAGATTTATATCAACGGTATAATTAATAAAATTGCTATAAATCAAAGAAAAATTTTATAGATATAAATTAAGCAAATATGTGTTAGAATATTTACCTTATTGCTATCGGATTGTGCATTTTGTGAATCTTGATAAAGTGCTTCCTGATCCAGTTGTTCTTTTCCAATTGCGGCGTCGTCATTGGTGAGCTGATGGCTTGTCACATGCTTATCTGTAATTTATATTCAAGGCGGATTTATTTTAAGATCAATATACCGCAGTATGTTACAGAATTCGCGATTTACTGGAATTTCTAATATTTTAAAACGAGTTATTTTTAAGAAATATGATATATTAGTTATTTTATCAAGGTGTGTAACGTTCATTAAGTATTTACTATTAGTATCGGTGAGCTGGTTTTTTGGAAGTAAAGAGCCATTGAACTGAAGAAGCTTACCGCCGACTAAGGCCGACTCCTCGGCCACATCATTGGCATACGTAGTGCTCGCAGGCTCGCTGGATTCATTGCTTGTAGTTTCGGTTGATCTTCTATATCGGCGATGCGCTGACTAAGTAAATATTGCACTTAAGAAAACTTCAATAGAATTCAGAGACATTATTTGTCTAAAAATGATACAATGTATATATGGCTTTACTACATAATATAAATTGATGTCATGTATGCCACACATATTAATATAAAATATGAAGAATCATAAAATTATAATAATACGAAATAAATATTATTTTATTAATTATAAAATTAACTATAATAATAATTGTTCTATGTTTGAATGTTGCGATTAGCATCGAATCTTCTCTTTTGTTACGAATAATTGAGTGGAATAAATATTTACCAACCTTAGGGTATTTAATAATCACCGTGGGTCGCGTGTATCCGCGGCCTCCTATCTTTGTGTAACTTCCGTGACTTCTAGAAACATGAGAGGACCAATAACTCGGCTCTGCTAATTGTATAAATTCTACAGTTTGCAAATTTGAATTATCAGGATGTTCTTGAAGCTGCTGCGGCTCTATTTGAAGCTGCTGCGGCTCTGTTTGAAGCTGCTGGAACGCTATTCGAAACTGTTGCGGCTCTGTTTGAAACTGCTGCGGCTCTGTTTGAAGCTGCTGCGGCTCTGCTTGAAGCTGCTGCGGCTCTGCTATTGCTACGTATTGATCTGGTTGTGCATACGATTCTTCCATCGGCACAAGGCAAATATAATCTGAATCAGGTTGCACATTATTTGGCTGGTCACTGTATGTAACAGGTTGAACGAGGATGTCGGCAAATACGACGCTGACTGCTGATATTAGCGTCGCTAAGAACTGAAATAATCCAACAAACTTTATGCAAATTGTTCTAAAAAAAGTAAAAATTTACTTCATAAATTCTTTATAAATAATTCCAAATTGTTGGTTAATGATTTATTCATTTATTAGAGAAATATTTAAATATACAAATTTTAATAAAAAATATAGATAACGAATAAAATAATTATTTTATTGTAAACTTATTAATTTTGTTAAAATTGCTACTCAACATTAATTTAACTTAATAACTTGCATATTCTATTTTTCTATGGAAATAAATTCCGGAAATTAAATGCAAGACAAATAAATATAAAGTACTCATGAGAAATTTTTACTCACTAATCCTCGATGTAGAAGCATCTCGATTTCTTCCCTTCTGTTTTCACTGTTGTTACTGTTCTTCCTGTTCGTCTGCGACTGATACGACACTTCAACCTCTCGTTAAGTATAAATAGCTTATAAAATCGCTGATGTTCGCAACGAGTTTTGCTTGCGTTGCAATTTGACTAATCTGTATATGTTGCGCCTATTGTAAAATCGTTTAAGAAAGAAATGCGAACGTATCCTTAAATGTTTTCTAAAAAATATTATTCAATTGGGTAATTATTATTGATTTAAACGGTTGCATTGTTTTGACCAACACAATACATGATTGCGTTGCATCGTAAGCGTTTCAGTGGGTGTTTGGACATTTTCTCGCGAACATAACAATCATCATGTGAATTTCCGTTTGTTATAAAATGCACGATTGCAAAAGCAATCTAGTAAACGATATGCATATATGGAATGCGCGAAAATGCACTTCCTTGCGAGAGTTCATTGCACTTCGGGGCCAGTGCTTCCGCAGACGTGCTCTAATTATCGCGTAAGTGGGTGGCTAGAAGCCCAGACGTTGATCTAGACTTCTTTCTCGTTGCCGACCACTCTTCGAATGCACATATCGTTAAGAAATCTTTTGCGCCGCTTTCGTCATCGTTATTGCGTACAACACGCGGAGATCGACAGCGAAAGATAAATCGCGCAAAAATTTAAGCTACAATTTCAGAATTCCTACATTTTACACAGTAATGTCTTTTAACGTGTTATTAAATTGCTCATAATAATCGCGGTAATAATTTTGATATTTTCCTCATTTCACGGAGTGAGTGAAAAATTACATCAACAGCGTTTTACGCAACAACTCAATTCGATACCGACATTTCTCAATAGTTATTTACTCCTCAATAAATGTCTTTTTCGCAAAATATCTCGGAGATTGTGCGATCCGTGACGAATGCATCGAGGCATAATAACATGCCGATTTGTTCTGGAAATTGTCCAGGTTGCGTATTCGGTACGTGATGCCGGCGGCGCACCTGACGCTGCGCGAGGAGGACGTGGTGCGACTGACCTTGGAGTTCCTCCACAGCCGTGACCTTCACATCTCGCAGCTCTCGCTCGAACGCGAGACCGGCGTGATAAACGGCCAGTACAGCGACGACGTGCTCTTCCTGCGCCAATTGATCCTCGACGGGCAATGGGACGACGTGCTCGAGTTCATCCAGCCCCTGGAGGCGCTCTCGGACTTCGATATGAGGAAGTTCACGTACTCGATCCTGCGCCACAAGTACGTCGAATTGCTGTGCATCAAGTCCGAGGCGAACGTCATCGCCGCCGGCACGAACGGCAGCGTCGACAACGCCGTGGAGGAGGTCGTCAAGGTATTGAGCGATCTTGAAAAGGTCGCGCCCTCCAAGGAGGAGTACAGCAGCCTGTGTCTGTTGCTCACCCTGCCGCGGCTGACGGACCACCTGCAGTACAAGGACTGGAATCCCAGCAACGCCAGGGTGCAATGCTTTCGCGAGGTGCATCCCTTAGTCGAGAAATTCCTGCCGGGCGACAGGAAGGGCTCCGATTCCGCGCATCCTGTCACCTCGGCGAAGAACGACCGGCTCATTCAACTCATCATCAAGGGCATCTTGTACGAGTCCTGCGTAAATTACTGCCAAGCGAAAGCCACCGGATCGAAAGAGAGCGAACAGGTGATTTTTTTCATCTTTTGTATTATTATTATTATTTTTTTAATTTATTAGAAATTTGGTCTAATATTTTTTTTTGCATAATAATAATAATTTAAATACATGTTACGTCTATTGAAATTTCACAATTATTTATGTATTTGAACGTGGATTAGATAATTAGCTGATAAATTCTAGTAGTTGATTTAAAATTTATTTTCTACATTTAATTTAATTTTAATTATATACTTAATTTTTTTCTATGCTTTTATGTTACAGGTGGAGATGAGTTTTTCGAGGCTACTGGACGGATCCGTGGGTTTTAGCGATTCGGATTTAAGTTTGCTCTCGTGGCTTCAAAGTATACCTCCCGAAACATTTGCTGTACCCTTCGCACAAAGAACCCTGAATGTCGACGTGGAACGTCTGGAGAGGCCCTCCTTAGAGACCTCGTGGACCGAGCATATGCTGATAACCCCAATCAAGCCGAAGACTTTTCCGCACAGCGCCATGCCGTTTACCAGGCCGAGATCCGCCGCGGACATGATGTCCCGTAGTTTAGTACCGGCTCTGGAAGCTGGCCTCGGACCCAGAAGTCCCGGATCCAAGAACACATCCATACCATCGGCGGCGCTCATGGCGCTGTCCATCGGCGACGTCAATCCGATGTCGCGGTCGTCCTTCGCCAGTTTTCATTTGACCGGTTTCAAGAACAACAAGCTGATGAACACCAGCGTCGACAGGCTCTTCGAGAACGAGGGCGACGTCTTCCTTAGCTCAAATTACGCCGAGTTCCAGCAGCTACCTTCGATACAAGAGACCATGACGAATGCTCAACCTAAGGCTCCGCCGAGGACGAGAGGACACTCAAAGAGTCCCGAAGGTGAACTTGCATCACCAATTTTCAACTCTAATTTTATATAATTTCAATCACATATTTTTAATAATATAATTTCTGCATAATTGATAAAAAATTTAATTTATTTTAAGTAATTTCTATTATTTAATGTATACTTAACTTTAATTTTATTAATTTTACAACTAACAAATTATTCCAATTAAATGAAGTTCTGCCACATCGAGAACTTCTATATTATTTCGAAATAATCTGTAATTTTCGTAATAGGTGTGGAAGGAGATCCTTCAGTGACCTCCACTCCAGAACGTAGAGTGGCTGGGAGGGAATCACCGGCGCCCTCGACCGCCAGGAGTTCTAGGAGAGACTCTTTGTCGGAAAAACCTACGGGAGTCGCTGCCAAAATTACGGAACCGACCGCGATTCCGGTTAGAGCAGCCGTAGCTCCTGGCGAGCACCTCGAGCAGAGCTACAACGGTGGTCTGTTTAAGGAGTATCAAAAGCAGAAACAGAGGCTGCAAGAGACCATTCAACAAAAGGAAAGAGAGAGAGACGAATTAGTCAGGCAGCTAACGGCACCATTACCCGTGCAAGTAGCCGATAATAGACTTCAGGGGGAAGGGTAAGTGATTTCTCCAATATTTTCACATTGCGAAATTATAGCGAAAGCGTTATAGCTAAGCGATAAAAAATTACAGTATCAATTACTGAATAGATTCAATAATGATTTTTATCCAGACGGCATTTCTAAAAGAGAATTAAAAAAATTTTACACTTATAATTTTCAGTGTCAGAGAAGTAGATACATTTTTTTAATTAACAAGACATTAAAAAATATGTAGTTTGAGAAATTGTGAGATATATTTGGAGAGGTATCTTAGGAAAATTATTACAGTACAGATGACAATTTGCACAACATATTTTTATCGCATAGTTTATATGTACACACAATCAGTATAGTCTATATAGTCTATGAAGAAATAGCTCTGTTGCTCCGAGAGCATTCAATCAGAAGACGTAGCCCGTTGCATTCTCCAAGAGATGGCGATAGCGGGAAGCCTTTGTCGAGTTTATTGTGGTAAAACATGTGCCGAGAATAGCAGCACAGATTTAGACACCCATGTGGCATCGATCGAAATAACGCGTTACCCTCCTGCTTCTATATTATTTCGAACCCTCCTGCGAGAATTGTTTAAAAAAGCTGATTATTTTGACTGCTTAGCATTGACTTTCAAACTGCTTCTTGGAGTAAGAAATTTTATTTCAGTTTCAATAGCTTTTTTTTATTAAATAATGCATGTGAATCTTAATATCAAATCGTATGAAAAATTAAACATAAAAAATGTAACATATTTGAAATCAAAAATATTATTCAAGAAACTATTAAATTTTGATAAATATTTATTAAAATATTTAGATTTAATAATTGTATAGAATTAACGTAGCATAAAATTTAGAAAGCTTTGAGTATAGTTTTATAAATTTATTATCTGACATTGCATACAACGCGCATCAACCTTAAAAAGTGAGTTTAATGAATATTCATTGATATGTAACCTTCGAGAAAGCGAACGTTATTTACTGAGAGATGGACGTCACAATTGAAGTTGGAATTTGATCACGGTTCATTGGCACCGGCCGCTGATTGTGCTTCAACCGGAAACCGGATACATTTTAAATAGAATATAAAGCAAAATCGTGACCATACAATTTCCGTCAATAGTTTTATCCTATTAGTGATTCACGCGTATGCAACATACATATTTATACTCACATTGTTTCATTCATATGCGTGATTATATCCTGCAAAGTGCGTATAAATATGTAAACTTCACATATTTACGCCTGACCTAAATTTTTATATTCGACCATGATTCGGATATTATGCATTTATGTAAAATGAAAAAATTGATTTGTTTAGTAAAATCGCGTTTTTTAAGAGAAATATTTTACAATTAACCACGATAAAATCACGATACCGCGACGATATAAAAATTCAGAAATAAAGTAGGGTAGCCTAGATTGGGAAAAAGTGGTATAATTGAAATCACTATTTATTTACGACTATAATTATATTATTTTAATTAATACTTTAAAGGCAGTATTTTAGATTAAAATTTTAACACACACATGATAGTAACAAAATTATTATTAGCTGTTATTCATCTTTGGCAAATATTTAGCTAGCATTGAGTATATTTAAGTAGCGTAATTACTTCAAGAGGTGTTTTCCTTAATAACTATTTCATCGCGTCTAGTTAAATAGTATTTTCATTGGTAGTTATGTACGTTTTCATGAACGCACTAACGAGTCTGGTTAGCAGTCACGTTGACGTTTTCGAGGAATGAGTCGAGGAATTAACTCGGTCCAAAGGAGGCTCGAGTGTCTGACAGTTCGTTAGCAGCGAAATACGGTGTATTTAGCGGCGAGACGGTGATGTTTCGCGGTCGATGAGATAGAGGCCAAACGAGAGCCCTTGATCCTTCGGGTTCAACAAACGTGGTTATTCTTGATGATTTGCTAGATTTATCAGATGGTGCGTTCCATTTTCAGTGACATTATAAAGCTACCTTTTGAAGTATTTTGTTTTTTTTAAACGTTATAATTAAAGTTCTCTCTTTTGCACAAGTTGATTTTTAAAATTGTTTGGAACTGTTGTATGAATTTGAAAAGTAAAAAAACTCCCTTTCACTCTCTGCATTCTTAAATTCTATTTAGAAATTTATGAGATTTTTAATTATAAAACTAAAAGAATGACATTTGCTATTGTTCAAATTATTTTATTCTTATTATTATTTGTAACTAAGCGGGAATATGTAAAGATAAATGCACTTTTACTGTCGATTGTTCAAGGTGTAACGCACTGAATTTCCATAACAAGTAGAAAATTACCTTGACTCGACAGCATGTTGATACCAAAGATGGATCCTCGGATTCTTTCGACATCGATGCTGCTCGTAACGCATCCACCTACTTGCGCGTATACGGCGAGATGCAATGCGTAATTAGAACGCGCGAGCGGTCGTCATCGGTAACAATCGAGGCTTTGTTGAAACATCATCGGAATACGAAGTAATCGCGAAATCGTCTCTTTTTTTTTTCGCGAATCAAAGCGCCTCGTTAATATTGAACATTCCAGGTGCTGTAGACGAATAAAAAACCATTTGAAGAATTGTTCCACATCGATGAGTTTGTTTATTGCAGTAATTTTCAAGCGGTTAGAAAATGAAAAGTACATAATTGTGTTACATAATTGTATTACGCATAATTGTGTAACGCGTTTCTTTTAATTTGATATTTTCGCCTGCTAGCTTATATAATAAATATACTTATCGATATGAAATAATTATTACAGTTTGTGATAAAATACACTCAAAAAAATATTTCGCTGATGTAGTTAGATTTCTAGATATCGCAACAAGAATGTATTGCTATTTTTCGTATCTGTGAAAACATTGTTTGTCACATATAGAATTTATAGCAGTAATGTTCTAGCAATAGCTTCTGAAAAATTTAGGTACCATTGCTAAATGTTATTCATTGCATGATCTAACACGTGATTGATCTTATATAGATAGGCGCTTTAGAGAAACTTTCTTTTTAAAGTTCACAAACAATACAGATATATATTCTGTTTCTGTCATCTAAACTGATTAAGTAATTACATATGCAATATCACAACAGTTGCTAATTATTTATCTGTTTTAGTTAATTTTTTACACCTAGTAAAATTTTAGCTATTATTGCAAGATCTATTTTTTGAGTGTAGAAACAAACTTTAAATAAATAGAATAATTTTCCGAGCAGAGAATAATTGAATAATTATAAAATTATTAAAATTTGATAAATTATTTAGTAATTTTCAAAAAATAGTTGATAATTTTATCGTAGAATTTTATCGAAAAATTTGTTACACTATATATTTATGTAAAGATCTCTCTTAATTCTATGATAACGCGATTATTTCTTAGAGAATACGTTCGCTGAATTTTTTTTCAAGACACTTTGTAGGTGCATAGGCAATGCACCATGTTCGTGAATATTCACGTAGTGGCGCAATTGCATATTGCGAATTCCATATCCACGTAAGCGTGCCTAGCTACATTCCGAAACGGAGTGAGTCGTGAAAGTTTGTCGATGCAAGCAAATGCAAAACTAAAGTGACGCGCAAGCATCGAAAATTATTTAGCACGTTGACACTTTGTTAGACATTCGAAAAAATTTCGCGTTTCGAATGTAAAATTCCAAATGCGGGCACAATTTAAGAAAGCAGAACGGAGAATTTCATTGCCGATGAGCGAGATCGTTTGTTGAGCGCCGTTTGAAAATTTATTGGGCTCCGCATTCATTTTGTTGATGTAAGGCAGAAAGTGTGGCGATACATGCAAGCTGTTGTGAAATTAAGTATAACTCGCGTGATGATTCTCGCGTGTATCACTTTAACTGCGAGAAATAACTGTGAGGCGCTTATAGCTTCTGTCTTTCGAAGCAGGACATCTGCCAGATGTTCCACGCGCGATTCTCCCGAAAGCGATTGTTCGCGTACTCTTTCACTCGATGTTCTTTCACTCGAAAGTTGTTTGAATCAGCTGGAGGCCAAATTTATTTAGGTCGATCAAAAAATTTATTCGCTCTCTTTTTCTTTATTTCTTTTGTATTAGTAGAGCAAAGAAACGGAGGAATTTTTTCAACAAAATTAACGTCAAATTGACATTAATGAAGTTAAAAAAATGACAACTTAGACCTTTAATGTCGAGAAATATTTATAGTCCCTTTTTATTGCCATATTAAGGTTACTTTTTTGCTCTCCCTCGTATTTATCATACATAATTTTATACAATTATTTTCAGTGTTATTATTTTATTTATTGATATTCTTCTGGATGCTAATTAAGCAATTCCTGAAGTATTTGTCACTTGTCATCTGTCGTTTAATGCCGCCTCGATTCAGAAATAATATTTTTACGATTTATCATAACTCCAACGGAAAAATTGTCAGATATTGGAAGCTATTGTTGTCATATTTCATCGAATCGTTCTCGATATTTCCCTTTAACTTTCTATTTATCAAAATGCACAAAGGAGAGCGAGACTTACTCGACACGCTGTTCACTCCGTTAAAAGAGCGCTTTTCCCGCGTGTTTTTCCCTCTTATCCAGTCTATCTTTACATTTACATTCGAACTTCCCAAGAACTCGTAAAACTTTCTACGCCCCTCGTGATGTATCTGTGTGCATCACGGTTGCACGCTCATTGTCAGTGACAGCTGATTGCAGTGGATGCGCCGCGTGCGTGTATGGACGGCCGGAGGGAGCTGCTGCGAATCAAAGCAGCCTCTGATAGGTTCGCGATACGCTTTGTTATTACGAGCGGAGCTGGAGCCGACGGGCGAGCTCAGTCGAGCCTAATGCCGCTGCCAGGCGGAATCGTAGTCGCCACCGCCGCAGTCGCCGCCGCTCTTGCTCCATCGCGATACTCCACGTCGGACTTCCTCGCCGACAGTATCGGTTCGGTACCGCCCGCAGCTGTGACGGCCACACGGCGACATACCGTTGCTGCGTGACCGCTCTCGCACGCCAGTCTCGCGCGCAAATAAAACGAAACGTGAATTCCGCGGCTTCTTCAGCGGTCAGGCGATCGACGTCGAGAACTCGCCTCGTCGCGTTTCGGAGTTGTTTCGTTCGCGTGAAGAATTCGTGAGACATTTCTTCCTCGATATTTCATCAAGCAGTGGAGTTGCTCGCGCGGAAGAAGCCTCGTGTATCTGGTAGCCTGGCGATGAAAACGTGAAGACGCGGGATTCGACGGCGAGAAACGTGCAGGAAGCATGATTTATCACAAACCGACGACGCCGCGATTTCGCATCGCCGAGCGGATGTGCGTGCAGCCTCCGAACAATCGGCCGACTTACACTAAACAGAATAGTCACAGCAGCACGTGCAGTCTTAGGAGCGTCGGTTCCACGCCGCCGTGCATAAGCCGGTAAATACTACTCGCTTGGCCACTCGATGACATTTGCAGTATTGCCTCTGGCAGAGCTAGACATTCTCCCGAAGTACCGAATAGATAATCTCAACTTAAATCTTTGTTCCAAACAGTTTCATCCTAAAAGTTCATTGAAGCTATCGTTGAAATAAAAAACAGTGCCTCTTAGTTTCAACGAACATTTAACGGATTTCTCAAAAACATTTCTTAAAAAGATATTTCTTGCAGATAAATTCAGAGCTTTTTTTTTTCAGAAAATATTTTAGATTTTGATTAATTGACGATATTCAATAATAATATGAAATATAGGGTGCTGATTTTTAAATTGATTCATAATAGACATTATTTACGATAAGTCGCTTTATAATTCGTGCGTTTTTTTTTATATGCTTATCCGCGTCGACGAATGTGCTATAACGGGAAATAATTAGTAGTTCCGCATACTAATTGGCTACCAGAATGATTTCTGGAAATCTAATTCAATCGCATCTGTTATAATGTTATAACTTATAAGCCGTGCTTAGCAAAGACGCAGTTTGCTGTCGGAGCTGCATCGGGAGCTCATGTCGCATCGGAAAACGTTACCTCGATTGAGAACACAGCACGCGCCGTGATGCAGCGCGATTTTGTATAACGGTAACGAAAACTGAGCCGTGATGATCGGCTGAAGATTGTTTCAGCGATTTAGAGAATGTCATCTGTACAATCGAACCGTTACGTCCAAAAATTCGCAACTCGTTTTACGCTAGAATGAAAACACTGACGAAGGCGAACAGATCCGATCTGCGTTCGGACGACGTTCGAATGATTCTGTCGATTTACAATTCATAGGTAGTCCGAAATTTTGAGGAAGGTAAGGTGTCAATTTTCGAAATTTTACGTACGCCAAGGATCAAGTCTCACATGAATAATGTATTGTGTGTCGCATGCTGTTTAAGCGCACTACGTATGCACACTACGTCGTTTAAAAAAATGCTACATAATCCGTCGTACATGCATCGCCAGCAGGCGCGAGTCTAAGTTCGAGAAGGTCAAGATACCCCGGTGTCTCGTTTCCCCGCCGTGTTAAAATTCGAAGAATGACAACGAATCTCGATAAATCACGTCTTGCTTGAACAGCTAGACTTGAGAAATTTCATGACTCTTCTCAGACTTCTTCATTTCCGTTTAATGTTCGAAAATCACGGTCACAGCTAATTCCCAGGCTTTCTTACATTGAATTAGTTTCCTTATGCGAAAAAGATGATTGAATAGAATATATATATAATATATTTTTTTGTAATTATTTGAAAACAATCTTTGTATCTGGGAAGCAAAGGGGAATAAATTATTTGCTTTATTTTTATATTGTTATAATCATTAAAGAAAAGTTGTATAAATCAAAGAATAAAAGTGAGATCTACATTTAAAAAGACTACTACTTTTAAAAAGAAATACAACTTTATTTTCCTTACATCTGTTTGCTTCTCAGGTATATTTTATTGCGGCAATTACACGCAGTTATTGCGTGTAACGTGCGAGCGCAAGCTGGATTTACGTCGGCTTAGTAGTAAGATTGCCGGCTGGAATGTCAACAAAGACACGAGATTAATAAGTGTCAGACGATCGTAACATTTTCAGCCATAAATTGTTCGTACTTTTAAGAGAATTTATGATTGCGCGTGACGAAACCTGACCGCCGCTGAGAATTATCGTTCGCATCCATTCTGCCGTTTACAGGATAAAACAGCCTTTGGGGAGCAAAGGACCTTCGCCCGTTCACACGAGTGCACCTGTCCGGTCTGGAATCCAGTCGCCGAAGCCCACGATCAATGGATCGGATCCAGTCGCGTAAGTTCTCATGCTGCATCGCGTAAAAGTCCCCGATAGTCCCGCTGCATAAGCGTTCACACATGCGAAAATTTATGGCTCTGTCAGAGGCATTGCGTCATTTAATATCGGTACTTTAACACCGGAGAGTGGCTTTCTTTTCATCTCGGCGCTAAATCTTTTTACAAACTCCGCCATAAATTGTGTCTTTTAATTTACGAACATTTTATTTTTATTTTTCTTTTTGTTTTATTTTTATACTTTTATTTATTTATGTAAAATCTATGTTTTTTTTCATGAGGCAGAGTTTGAATCAATTGTGTATTTTGTTGTTGCAGGAGGCAAAACTCGATGCCAGGTGGCGTTTACGATTCGAGGATGCCGGAAGTACACTACGACGTCATCAAGCCGAAGGTGAGTCAATTGTTAAATATCCCATGTGTGGGTGTGTTACTTTCGTATCACTATCAACTTAATATCTGTACTTTCGTTTTTATTATGGTTGCGATATTACATTTATAACGTTAGATTATTTAATATGATTTATCATCCGGTACCTCGTTATCGCGTAACGATCAGTGACTCGTGAGCACACTGATACTATTACGCGTCATATAGTTATTTTATTACCACATCTATGATAATATATGCGCTGCGTCGTTAAAACAATTGCACGTTGCCACCAACGTGTATAATTCGTGAACGTGTACTTTCTATCCGCCTTTCCTTATTTCCATAAACTTTGACGTAAAACACCATAACCCGTTTATAGCGTCGTCTGTATATGCGCCGGAGAAACCGGCTTTGCCACATTTTCCGTGAATCGATCGAGATATCAGGCATAATCGATCTACGACTTTGTATCGCTTCCGGCATAATTTATAAGAAAGCTCGTTACCACATCGTTTTTACGCCGTGCGGAAGTATGATGTTCAATTAATAAAAGATAGGCGCACCAAAAATGCAACACGATGTGTTCATACAGATAAGTGTGATTAGAAAAAGCCCAAACACATAAAATTATCATACTTAAAAATTTGATTGAATATATTCAAGCAAAAGCTACACTTCATATATTATTTATGTGATTATGAACGACTTGAATAATTCTTAGAAAGAAAATAGTAAATTTTGTATTTCTTAGTTTGTTTTTATTTAATTATTTTGTTCAATTTTTTAATGCAAAAATATCGATTTAATATTGATATTATTTATAATCTGATAAAAAAGAGTTAAGTTTTGCCATCTATCTTTAGCATTTTTTATCAAATATGAGCAAATTATTAAAATATAATATTCTATTAAGCATGTTATTAAAATATAATATTTATTTTGCAATATAATTACATTTTTATCATAAATTTAATTTCTTGCAAGAAGATATATAGGTCTCCCATCGTCGTCAATTAATCTTTCTTAATCGATCTACTTTCGGCTTAACTCTCTTTGCTATTGATTAGTCATGGCTATTAAGAAATTGTCAATTAAACGCTCTAATTGGCTGAACTGCCAATTAACTATAGGATAATCTTCTGTGTGCCCTTTTGCTTCACACGATCGATTTTATTTTTCGTACTCTTTATTACAATCTGCTTGACTATTTATTTTCTTCAAAAGAATATTTTTATATGAAGTATACTTTAATAATTTTTTAAAATTAATTACACATTAAATACACATTTTTTATCTCCGCAATATTTTTTTACGTGATTTAAAATGCACATACGTTACAGTATCGGTCTTGTATATTTTTTTTCTTAACACTGCAATTTATTGCGTGGAATTTTTTGGAAGTCTGAATACACGATACGTACTTGAAATGTTCCTGCAATATGAAATTACACGTTTCCGTATCAAGTGATACAATAGCATTCGGCGCTGTTAAATTTGCATGTCAATTGCTGTTTTTGTCCTCAATAGCGGAAATGTAGGGATTTAAAAAAAGAGCCGAATAACGGCTCATTTACCACGAACAGAAGTGACAAATGAACGAGTGAGCTAGCGTACATGCGAAATGCGATCGGTAACTGTCCACACGTACGTGCTTTTTAAGGAAAATAATAATGATTTTGCAGTCTCCCATTTATTAACAAATTTATTCTGTTCTTATACCATATTATTTCTGCTGTCGCGTATTTCGTGCCTGCCTACTTAAATCTGAAAACTGACGAACGCGTATGCAGAGCACGACTGGAGAATTTATCTGAAAAACTGATCTGAAAATATTCATACTCAATAATCTCATTTATTAAGAAGGAAATTTTTTTCCTTATCGGAAATAGTTTCATATAAATAAAACGCGCGCAATTTAATTCAAATGTATGAAATAAGTTAGCTCTTAATTTTATTATTAATTATTAATCATTGAAAGCGATGTCGCATAAAATGATACAGTGATAATTGATAAAATCGAAGAGTTTACCTAAAAAAATATCGCTGCTCCAGATTCGACGACCTCGATAGTGCGATTGCGTTACGCAATGCAATAAATTCGCGGAAGTGCTATGATGTCAGGCTAGGTGTGGATAATGATGGCTGATGAACGCATTTTATGATTCTCGATGCACCGTGTCGACTTCCTAAACGTAGAAGGCGACTTATTATGATTCCCGCTGCGTTTAATGCTGTATTTACCGATTTCACCGTTGCCTTAGGTCGCTTATTTGTCATTTATATTATGAGCGGTCTTGGCACATCTTGCCAAGCTTTTTTCTCTCATTCGCGCAGAACATCGTTGATACATCGTTGGCAACAACGGTGCGATATATCAAACTGTCGGAGCTGCGGAAACTACCGACAACTGTAACGAAGATTGAAACCTCCATGCGCCTCTGTAAGTGTGTCGCTGAAGGCTGCGGCTAACTTACCGGCTTCTCAGTCTCCCCGTTTGTCTTCGTACAATCAATTCTAACGAATTGTGGATCGGCTATGAAAGTTTATGTTGACATTTCTCGTAAATACCCATTCGCGTTCTACATTCGCGCATCTAGTATGCATCCAAGATCTTCTCATGGTAAACGCGATGACAGTAGGTATTCTCTTATTAATAAAATCAATTTCTGCAGGCAGTTTCTCTCTAGTGAAAATCCGACGATGAAATTATTCTTATTTATTACAATGACAAAATATTCAATATTATAGATGTTTGTGTTAAAATTCCTTAATTATTTTAATAATTATTTTAAATAAGTGTAGTGTAATTAAATTTATTTTCCTTAATTATTAGAATAACGTCGTTTGTTAATTAAATGGCAAATGAGATCTTGTGATCTACGATTAAGAGATAAATTACAACAGCCACTGCGGTAATCCGACGAGACCTCCGAGCACCTACACTCGAAATTCTAATGCCCATTCTTGCTTGACATTAGATAATGTCATGCCGCGGCGCTGTTGGGAAATGCAAATGTATTACACGTAAGAGCGCTGATATTATCATCGCGCCGTCGCTCACAATTAAAAGATGCATCATCTTATTGACTAAAACGGCGCTACTGCGTGGGCGCTTTTCCGAGATTTTTTGACGCATTATGCTCGATCGTCATCACGTAGAGGCTATTTCATGGTCGCCGTTAGTTGTACAGCAGATAGAGTTAGACGAGTTTAAAGGAGTAGTTTAATCAAATCTCTTAAGTTTTCCTCCGAAACTGGTTTACAAGCGCTTTGATAGATACAACAATTGACACTTAAACTCGCGAATGTAACGCGACACCGTGTTTGCCAGCGTATCACTTTTTCAAAAGGGTGTATCCTTTCTTGCTGAGTGAAGTCGCTATTTGCCTTCAGTTGTCAAGGTGAACCGGAATAGACTACCACTTCTTCGTGTAGGTGTCAAATAGAAGCCGGGTAACTCGATAACCCGCAAATACACACGCATTTCCTTCTAACAATACATGACTCGTAACTGAGCGACAGTTGCAATTTGCGCGATAAAATTTTATGATCGTGGCGCCACTTCGCGAGATTCTGCTTGTAAGAGAATAAATACACATCAGATACTTTTATATTAAATCGCGTGACGTTTCTATATATCAAATTATATTTGTTACGTTTCATCGTTAAAATATAATTGCGATAAGATTAATTTATTTACATTAATTGCAATTAATAAAACATTCTTGCATTAATATTAATTAATGCAATTGTTGTTACATTCAATTATCTCATGTTCACTTTCGAGCAAATTGTGTAGTCATAAACTAACTCGCGTAGTGTTCAAAATATCGTTTAATCTCGGGAGGGTTGTTCGAATTGAATTTACGACGCGGCTTTAATTCGCAGAAATTATATTTGCGTGACCGTGCGGTATGCAAATGCACTTGCAATCTCTGTTGCCTCTGTCGAGTGTAACGCAATTGCAGCTCCATCTCGTTGGCTATATGAAAGAACGTTTCCATTCGCTGGATACCATACCCGCAAATGCTCGGTCTGCCTTCCCGTTAATCAGGAGTAGATGCCGTCAGCCGATTATGGTCGGCAATAAAAACATTCTACGATGAGCATATTAATCATCATATTTGATGGATCCAATGTGAAAGGATCTTTTTTTTTTGTATTTTAATTTTACTCGACGAAAGAGTTACGAAAATTTTTAAATATATATGTATTACGTAAGTAGTTTATTTAGGAAGTGAGCAATAATACAAAAACATATTTTACATTTTTTATGCTAATAGTTCACTCGTCTTAATTTAGTCCGAATTTAGTTCTTATTTAGTCCGAATTTTGTCCTAATTTAGTTATGATAATTTTTGTTTCAATAAGCAATTTACTTAATTCCGAATTTGCTAATTTCTGAATGTGTTTTGTGTAAAAATATAGCATTCTTCCGGAAAGGTATAAAGCGCACGGATGTTTGCATGAGTTGAGGATGAGTCATTCTAGTTCGCGACACTCTGCAACACAAATGTTTTTTCCTTGTACATTGAAACATTCGGCGCTGTGACTAAAATCATGTCTAAAAAAATATTTATTCGAGTGGAGTATTTCGTCAAAATTGTGAAATTGTAATTCGTATTTTATTTCCGCCTATATTCTAGTTGCACTACATTTATGAATTTGTTCCAACGATTCAGCGCGGGGAATAATTACCGACACTTAATTTTAATTGCACTGCATTTAGTGCAAATTTTTTCTTTCGAATTCTACTTATACTACTTTTTATTTATTTTACCTTGCTCCAAACGTTTCTAAAGGTTACTTAAACGTTTAGCGTAATTGCTCTATAATTTGTTTTCCACTCAACTGATTATAAGAATTGATTGAGGATTAAAAAAGTTGCATAAAACAGATGATTTATATACGAACGTAAAAAGATTTAAAAAAAATTTATTATACGATGTTTAACATACTGCGATCTTTTTAAATCGTACTTGTGATACAATGAGCATTTTTGTGCGTGAAATAGATCAAAG